TGATTAATGTTTATTTTAACTTTTTGTGTACAATTTTACTTAACTAAAAAAGTGTTAATAATTGAGTAAGTGTATGTTTGTTTTTAACTTTCTAATATTTAAATTTACTTTCAATTCAATCTATTTACACTTATATTTTTTTGTTTGAGTGTATGAGAAAATCTGTCGATAAATATTCTAATGCATTTTAAATATATAATTTTATACTTTGTCTGGTAGAGAATAAATGTATAAAAATTGGGGTAAAAAAAGTGAAAATAAGAAAATATAATTAAGAGATGTTGTTTGATTGAGAAGAAAAAAAATGAAAATTTTTTAAAAGTGACAAACCCTACATTTTTATTTATTTATTTCTCTTTTCTCATATATATATATATATATTATTTTTCACATATTTGTCACTTATTTATTTTAACCAAAAATCAAAATTTTATTTTATTTCTTACCTATTTATCTTCACTGTTTTATTTCTCTCTACTATATTTGTCACTTTTTTTTTTCTCTCTATCAAACACAAGTTTAATAAAATTTCAATAATTAACATATTTTGTCATTATATTCTTTAATATTGAGTCAACTGAATCAATCATTTAATAACAATAAGTTATGTTGAAATCACATCATCGTCCATACTCTAGATTGTGAGGTCTGTTTATTTTATAGGCAAAGTACGATGAATTGATAAAATGAACAGTGAAAAACACCATTTAAATTCACATTTCTATACAAAAGTCATTTTAACGTTATCGCTGTCACGATAAAGAGTCATCTTAACGTTATTACGGTCACGATAAAAGGTCGCATCGTACTTCTCTATTTTTAAAAATATAAAATAAAAAATAAAAATATTATAATAAGTGATTACAAAATATTAATATTAAAAATGTAATTAAATTAGTTATTTAATTTAAAAACATTAAAAAAAAAAATTCTCTATATATAATATAAGTAAACAAACAATAGTTAAGATCGATTGATACCATATATCAAATTTGTATACTTATATTAATAAAAATTTTATAATACAAAATTAATCAAAACAATTGTTAAATAATTTTATATTATGTTTTAAACTGTGTGTTACAAAATTCAGATAATAAAATATTTGTTGTTAAATAATTTGATATTGTGTTTTTATTGCGTGTATCAAATTTACACAATTAACCATTTGTTAATATGATGTCTTAAATAAACATTCACTTATATTTTAAATAAACATTTTGTGAAAACAAAATAATGTGATGAATTAATTATATTTTTATTTGCATGAAATTTATAAACTTTACTCATTTTAAAAGATGTTTATACATTTTTTTACGTGGTATTCCCTAAAGAAAGAGCCCTACATTGTCTAATTACACCTTGTTTTGTTTATTTATATATTATTTTATGTTTTGAACTTTTAAAGTGGCTAGCAAAATGAGGTTAGACCTTGTGGATCTATGATTTAATAAAAAATTGAGATTTTTGAATTTGAATTTAAATTCAAACTAAGTTGTTGAATTGATTAATTTCATTTTGTATATATAAAAAAATATTAAGTGATGTAAGGATAAAAATATGATACATTTTTTCACCAATGATATTTCCCTCTAGCATGTTTTAAAAATCTACTTATCTATCAATTGAGCTATAGCTCGTCAACTAAAAACTTGATATACATGATATCAATTAATATTGGCCTACAATACGAGTATGACAACTTATTAAGTTGGTAAAAAAATTCTACTAATTTTTAATTAGTACACTGTTTTTTTTTTTCCACGAGATCTTTTACGTTGTGTTTGGTGAATGTCAAACAAAAATATAAATCACTCTTCAGCTAATTTGGTAAGGATAGAAAAAGAGAAACTAATATGGACTCCACATGCCAGATCTTCTACTCTAAAACGAGAGGAAGTGCGCGAAAGTTGTTTATTAATGTGATTATGTTATTTTTTAGGATATTTATTGATTATGTCATAACTTTTTTTACTTCTGAAAAAATCAAATGATCGACGGTTTAATGATATTATAATTATAATAAAAAAAAGTAAAATAAACATTAATAGCAATAATTAATAGTAATAATAAAAATAATGGGAGAGTTGTGGTAAAAAAATGAAGAAAAAAAAAGTTACCTAATAATAATACCCTCTCAAGTTATTTTTATAAGCACTACTTTATCTTTAAAATAGATTGATCATATAGAAGAAAGTTATATTTCTTAATTATAGAAAGGGAAAAAAAAACTCTCAAGTTATTTTTACTCTCTTTCTCTTTCATTTATTTTTAATAAAAAAAACTTTTTATTTGCATTGCAAGTTTTTTCAATTTATTTCTCTTCAGTTTACTTGTTTCTTACTTCTTCTCTTTCTATTTTCTTTTTTCTTTATCAACCAAATGTTACTCTCTGTTTGGAATAAATAAAACGGCAGATAAAATCAAGATAGAGACGAATAAAATGACAGATATTGAAAATTGTGTTTGTTTGATAATAGCAATTGAGGAAAGATAAGAGTTATAATTTGATGGGTCTTGTCTTACAGGTTTTTTATATATTGATAAGTGCATAAAAATGCAACGTAATCTTGGTGTTTATAGATAAAAGTATCCCTATTTTGCATGTGGTAGGACCACAAAAATACTTGAAACATTATTATTTCTGGACCACAATAAATTGAATCCGCTATATTTATCATCCATTTTATTTGATTGAAATTAAAAAGTAATCGATTGAATCACTTTGAGAGTTTATTTAACATCAATTATATTTTATTTCAATTAATTAATCATTTTTACGGGTGAACCACGTTTACCATTTCAATCGATTGGATCTACCGTAACATCCTTAATTATTTAAATTTATTTATTTTCTCCATCTTACTTGATTCAAATGAATACTTTATTTTTTTAAATGAGGATTTTTTTTATAGAAATAAATGATACAAAATCACATTCATAATTATATTATACATTTTTTATAACTCACTTAATTTTTTATTTTTTTTATTAGCCTCAAGTGAGCTATCCCACCCTTCTAGGGACGAAAAAAAAAAAAAAATACTAGCATTTTTATCATTATTAAATTTAAAACACTTTATGTCTCTATATTTTTTTTTAAATATTTAAAAATTATCAATATTTCTTGACATCATTTTATATAAATTAAAAGCAAAATATTAAATAAAATAGTTGTAAACAATAATTAACATAACAAAATAAACTAAAGAATACACAACAATACATATAAGATGTTAATGGAAATAAAAATGGTTAAATAATATATCACTAGTTAGATAACATAAAATAAACAAATAAAATGAAATTAAGGATATATCACCAAATAATTATATATATATATATATATAAAAGCTCCATTTTAGACGTATCTCCATCCTATTTTAATGAATTTCATAACTTGTAAGCTCCATTTTTTTTATTGGGTGAGGTCTCGGTGCCTATTAATAGACACAAATTATTATTACATGATTATCATTAGTTTCAATTTAACCGTAATTCTTAGATTTTTAGTTACATTTTAACTGATTTAGTCTGATTACGATAGATTCATTTTAATTTGCATCTTTATCAATTTGCATATTTATCTGCAACAAACAATTGCCCTCTTTACTACATTCCTATTTTAGACATGGAAGATTTTATCTCTTGTACATAGACCCTCATAGTCTACTCCAACTACACTTTTCATTCTCATTTCATTTACTATGTTCCTAACAGTAAATTTCATAATTAGACCCATGTGAATTTATACCTTTCGTATTCTGTGCTTTTTTTTATAAATAAATTATTATATACATAGTAAATATATTTATATTATATCATTTATATATAATAAACTGTTTCATAATTTATATATACACACATATATATATATATATATATATAATATTAGAAACTAAGAAATAAAATGAAATCCAATAAAATACTAATATCACTACATTTAAAAAATGTTAATCTCATAATATAATTAACTATTATTTATATTAATTTAATTTACTAAAAAAAAACCTTATTTAACAAATATAAAATTTGTATCTGAAAATTTAGTTGTTATAACTACTGAATAATCAGTTGAATCATTTTGACACATGCAATATGCAATTCAATCAAGTTATTTATTTTTTATGTTTCTAAATCACTCTCAAACACGAAATTATCCAATCAGTTATATTTTGAGTGAAATTTAAATAAACTCATTTATTTCATTTCTTTTCTCGTTTTCCATCCTAAACAAACAACATAACATTATTTTATCGCCTATTTTTCCTTCTATTTCTCTCTCTCTCTTTTTTTTTTTTTTTTTTTTTTTTTTTTTTTTCATTTCGCCCTATTTATTTCCTCCACAGTCTACACAGCGTTAAAAGTGTAATAGATATTTTAAAGGAGTGTAATTTCTCCTTTCCTTATAAATTAAAAAAAGCGACTTTTGTCTCCTTATAAATTAAACTACATGAAAGTAGAATCAATAGACACTCACTCTCATTTATGCAACAACTACACGAAAGTAATTTGTTTTTATTAAAATAGAAATAGAAATAAAAAAAAAAATAAGTCTTTTAAAAGGTGTAAAAAAAAAAAAGAGTTTTTTGACTTTGCAGAGGGCAGTTAGGGGCATTCAAGTGCATATGATAAAACGGAAAGGAAACTTAGAAAAGAAAAAGTAAGTGGTGGTGTGTTAGCATAAATATAGGCATAGGGAAGATGAGAGTGTTGAGAGTGTAGCGGTAACCGTGCAACTGCAGTCCATTGTTGCTTTCAAACTACTACTACTCTTCCCACGCGCTCTCAGCGCGTCACTTTCGCCGTTTTCTCTCCGCTAAACGTGAACAACTCGTACAAGTTCCTCTCTCTCTCTCCAACTAACAACGAAGAATTTTCTTTCTTTGCTCTTCGATTCATTCATTCATGCTCTCAACAAAACCCTCCTCATGCTCCAAAGGTGCGTGCGCCACTTTCTGCAGATTCTCTTCTCAAATTCTCCTAAAATTATCACTCTCGCTCTCTTATTTTATTTTTCTATTTTTTTTTTTTGCCCATTTTTTCGGTTCTATTTTCTCCGCAGATTCCTTCCTCCTTCTCTTCTCCCACTCTGCCGTGTTATACTTTGTAATTATGTAACAAATTACGCGTTTTTGGTCTTCCTTCGTTTATATTAGCATATTGGAAATGTTTCCTATTTTTGGAAAAAAGAAGAAAGATGAAAAACTCGCTTTTGATTTCACTTCTCGGCAATGCCGACGCCACAATGCGTGTGGGAAGTGCCCTTAAATCGCGATGTGTGATGCTTTGTCTAGCACTCTTCACTTCTAAGTTTGTCTTTCGTGTCTGTGTCTGATACGCATGTATAAATAAATAAAAATATATTTTTGTCGAAGCAATTGGGATTTTGTGGGTAGGTTTCTATGCTATTTGCTTCATGCTTGTTTTAATCTTTTGCATGAGGCATTGTGGGGTGTGATTAAATGGGGAAGGAAAAAATGCTTATTTTACGTTTGATTTTATTTTATTTTTTCCTTTCATGCTATGTGTTTATTTTGTAGCTGGAGTCATTTAATTTGATTTTCCTATCCTGCATTATAGTTCTATTTATTGCTGGTGTTTTATGTTCTGTTCGTGAGCTACATTCTGGTATCTGAGTATATGAATTGACATTGTTCATATGGAATGTCATCACTTTTGTGTTTGATGAAGTAAAAGTAGAGGCGAACTGTGCAAGAGAAAACTTTTATGTTAACATTGCATTAGTTGTTTATTTTTGACATTGAACAACTGGAATATTAGCTCAAGCAAGCTACTTGTCATGTTAACCCGTTTGTGAATTACCATTTGTTAACGTTGTTTGGTGCATTTCCATAATCGAGACTATTTTGTAATTTCCTTTTCTATATATTTTGCATAGAGTGGAGTGGTAACTCATACATGATACAGCTTTGATCTTCCGGCTAATATAAACATCTTTGTGATGCTATAACTCTGTGTTTGGCAGGCAAAGGCTATTCGATCATAGTTTTTAGCAATTAGAAATGGATTTAGAAGAGAAGTTCCATGCTAAAGGTATGGTTCTGTGCTTCTTCTTTAGTCTGCTCTTTCTAAAGTTTTAAACAATTTTTTTCTTCTCTTCGTGTGTTGTATTTAGAGCCAAGTGTTAAGTAGTGTAGTTTTATTATTCTATTCTCGTATGTTAATTTTTTGATTGTAAACCGTGTGGTATGGGATAGTATAATACTTAAATTTGAGTTTGGGAAAGATAAAGATGTGATTTAAATGTCTCGTTGCCTCTGTAAATTGTGCATCTAATGTTTCTGTTATATTACCAGTGCTCCTTCATTGAAAATCACGTTGCTATTTATTTCAAATATGTCTAACCATGTGGTTTTTTGCGTATTCTTTCCTAATAAAGACTAATTGTTATGTACAGTAACTACAGTTTCAGTCCAGTGTATGGTATAAATATAAATAAGCGAAGTGACTGCTTGTCACTAAGAAGGGTTTTTGTCCATATATATTTATTATAAATTTATAATTATAAATCAAGAACCTTGAAACTAAAATGTTCAAATAAGACGGTATTGAAGCTGCTTCGGCTCTCTTGGTTTATCATTAATGTAAAGCTTGTTTGGCCCATATGATGAAATATATTGTAATTATATGCTAAAGTGAAATATAGTAATGTAATACCTACAAGTCGTTGATTTGAGTAGAATTGAACTCGATTTTCTTAAGCAACGTTACATGTTTCAATCTTGTGAATGAGAGAAACATCATTGAGAGGAAAGATCTCAATAAAAGTGGTCATTCAGGTTTTTTGGCAGAAATTAATTATTGGCAAAGTCAAGAAACATTTTGCACTAATAACATGGTTATAGAAAAAAATATAGTGATGCAATGATTTGATATGCTCTGTTAGTATATATGTTAGGGATTAATTTTGCTGTCCAGCTATTTTCTTAGTGTCAGGGATCAATGGTATTATGAAACATTCTGTTTAAAAATTAAAAAAAACAATTATAAAAAAGTGATTTTAAAAGTGTATATTTTTAAGAAGCAGATAGATCTGCTTCTTAAAAACAAGAAAACAGTTTTTCTTCTTCTTTAAAAGCAGTTTAAACAAACACATTACAAAAGTAAAAAACTCTTTATTTTATTTAAAAAAAGAATTTTTTAAGAAAAGAATTCAAACAAACAAGGCCTATACAAGGGATAGGTTTGTGATGTTTTTCTAAAATAAATACTAAACATGTACATTCTCTTTTTGTATACAGTGTGTACAGAGCTAAAACCTAAGACAGTAAGACTCCATGCAAACTATCCAAACCTACTCACCACTGGCACTGGGCTGACTCTAGTGGGTTATACTAAACATGCAGTATTATTGTATTCCCTCCTCAATCTGGAGAGTGTAGTTTTGGATTTTTGGAATGCAATTGTAGCAATAGTTTGCATAAGAGTGAAATCCAATACCCTTCTCCATTTTTTATTTAAATTTGGAATAATATCGAACTAAATTAAAAAAATACAGATTATCTCTGTTATATTGAAGTGTTTTACATTGTGAAATCTCTATATTACCTCATTTAGGATGATGCTGATGATGATGATAATAATAATAATGTGACATGAGAGTAATTCAATTTTTTGTTAATAATTAACTATTATTTAATGAAGATTATTAGGATTTTAGAGAGGAAACCTATCTATGATTTATTTTTTCCAATAAGATATTTCTTAGTTTTTCCTTTTATGATTTATAAGAAAATCCAATTATTTTCCCTTTAAACTTGGGGATATAAATTTTTAGCCTAACAGTGACGTTCTATTTAAAACTGGGGATGTAAATTTTAGTAGTAAAATATTTAACTATTTTGCATTTATTTTCCACTTTAACTAACTGCTTGAACATAACATTCATAAGAAAAGTAAGACTTTGGTGTTCATTTTTCACAAACCTAAGTCGTTTGCTGACATGAGTCCCAAACAGTAACACTACCATTTATGTTTCTGATATTCTGACTATTAGGTGAAGAGTTTCATTAACGGTTTTACATTGACATCTCCAACTATCCCTCTCATGCAAGAGCCTTTTGGTCTTGAAGCATGGACAGTCACTATGCACTCATCCACTTACCTTGTGATGAAATTCAACTTTTTAGTAGAAATTTGGGGGCAGTAAACATCAAACCCTGGAGTCTGGACCACATGGTTACAAGAGGCTTTGATACCATGCCATGAACTATTCAAAAAAATTTAGCTGTTAGGTAAAGACACGTGAATGGTTCACCCTCTTAATGTCTGAAAAGAATCTTAGGAGAACCACACCACAAAAGCTAGCTTTTGTAGTTATAGAGCCTAAGGCATTGTAAACCTCACATTAGAATCTCATACTTCCAATGTGGGACTAAAGTCTCATATCTTACAATTGGATCCTAACATCCCGCCATGCTTTGCTTCCATATGGCTGGCTGTGCACTAGCCCTTTGACTAGTCTTGGACGAACACTGCAATGCTAACTTTACCACCCTTGCTGCTCATTTGCAACTAAGAGATATGGTGGAGTTTGATACCAATTGATAAGAACCTTGGGAGAACCACACTATAATGTTTAATTGTTGTAGTTGAAGAGCTCAACATGGAATCACTAGAATCCCTTACTTCCAATGTGGGACTCACATCCCATACCTTGCAATTAGATTCTAACAATGGGGCTAGTAAGTATCAAAACTTAGATCGCTTGGTCATAAGAGGCTTTGGTGCCATGCCAAGAACAGACTTTTAAAAAAAATTATGCTATTAGCCTATTAAGTGAAGACACACGAATGGTTCACTCCGTTAGCATCACAAAGTCAATAAGTTAGATAGTTGTGCTTTCAGAGATTTTTTTTATCCATATCAATGAGGTACTAAAGACTGGTCTTGCCTTAACCAGAAAGGCACAACTAAGGTGCTGATCCCATCTGACACCTTGCCTCAGTGCCTTGCACACACTTTCGATGTGTTTGACTACACTGAGCTGAACTGCAATTAGAAGCTGGGGATTATATCTTACCCTATTGTTAATGTTTACCTTACAATTTTTTGTCTGTCATCCTATTCCCACAAGCCATCATGTTAAAATTTTTTCACATTTTTGCTTAATGGGAAACTGATTTATAATTTGTTCATACATTTAAGATTAGTTTACAAAATAAAATTCAAATATAAGAAAATATTCAATTTTAGTGTGTTTATTGAGGAGTAGTTGTTCCAACATAAGATGACAATTTCATATTCAATTGTAAGATTGTTTAATAATTACGTTCCATATTTGAATGAGAAATGTGTAAAATTTTAATTGGTGTCAATTGAGACATACATGGTAAATTAAAAGTAAAGCTTTGGCATGTGATTGCAGATGCACATTCCCCCGTTCTATATTAAGGGTTATTCCAAGTGTACATGCCACACATTGTCCCTGGATGCTTTTCCAGTAGTTGCCACCATAGTAATGAATAGTTTTTTATAGAAGAGCAGAATAGCCCTAGGCTGAAACAGCATAGCGGCCTTCAATAGTGACCAAAATGGTGTCTTTTCACCTGCTATAGCAGTGCTACCATGATATAGGTTTCAAAAACCCATTTATACCCTTGAAACCGCATTGATTAGGATTTTTTGAGTACAATTGTGATATCTCCCCATTTTCTAATGCATTTTTTGCTTAAGAAATATAATAGGGTTTGAAACCCTTCTCCTTGACCATTCCAAAAGAAGGTACCTTTGTTACTTTGCACTTTATTACTATTTTTTTTCCTATGTTGTGTTCTTTCTTATTCCTTTCAACTTAGTTCGCATTGTTATATTTTTTTGTCTATTTTTTTTTTTGTATGTTTTTCTTTCAATTTTACCATCATCTTTCATTTTTCACTTTATTACTTTGTTCTAATTGCTTCTAGATTAGTGATTGTGTGTATAAATTCTAACTTATTACTTATCATGAATTTCTTTAATTTTGTGGTTTTTTGTTGTGGAGTATTTATGTGTAGTATATAATTTATTTAGTTTGTATTATAGTGTTTAAAGTTGTGGCCATCCTGCTTCATGCTATCCTGCCATAACATGTTCCAAGTTGGCCGCTGTGCTGCTAGCTAAGATGGATAACTATGGTTGCCACATTGTTTGCTATGGAGATGGTTTCCTAACTCCCCCCTTCAATATTCCATGAATTTTTTTCTTCTATTTAGTTTTAAGGTATTTGAATTAATTTGGAAAGCCTGTTGTGTGCATACTTGTGCTTCTTCACCAGTCCTCAGTTTGAATATTCTCACTTTTGATTATAAAATCTGATCCTATTATTTGGAATTTATTATGAAGATCATGTCATAAATCTATCCATTTTCAGGATGGCTGGAGATTTTTATCCCTCCCATTGCATGATTGCTTATAATCTGGGTGTTTAATTCAAAATCTGTGCAATCTGACTGGAGGATCTTGGTTCCAGGTCTTTTCCTAGGTAGATGTTCATCTAGAAGTAGAGTTGCTGTAATTGATTCATACTCGTGTTGTTCTGGCTGTTTATCTTGAATAGTGATTTTGCCTGATGTAGTTTGGTATTAGCATCTGCTCATATTTTAAACATCCATGTTTGCAAATTTTGTAAGCTTATAAATTTGAAAGTGGATTGATTCCACATTGTTTCTGTTGATGCAAAGGGGAGTATTTAATATGAACAATTTTTATCCTCTAAGGATGTAAACGATGTTATTTGGTGTCAAATGGTTTTGATTTACAATAGTATTAAAGCAGTTTAATGCAACAGTGCTTGGATAACATGTAAACTTAATTGAATTTTGTTGAAGTTTGCTCATAGTCCTTTGTAAACTGTCTCCTAGATTAGTTCTTTCATGCACACACATAAGCTTTACCATAATCTCCTTTTTAGTTCTTTGAATTGATTACATTTTAATCCTGTGAACTCCACTTGTTCATCGATGTATGATGCTGTAAAGTGTGGCTTATGTGTGCTTTAAAAATGGGTAAAAGTGGGTCTGATTTTATTTGTTTGAAATCAATTCAGTTCAGTTGTATCTGATCTGACGGTTAACCTGTCCTGATTCCTGAATAATGCAGCAAATTGTAGAAAGCATCTGCTCCATTGGTGGTTGAACTGTACAAAAAATACCCTTGTTCATATTTCTTTGATGAAACCTGAATTCGGCACCTATTGCATTCATTTATTTTACTTTTACATAGTCTATCTTTGCTATTTGTGTTGTCTTAGTTCTAGTTTTATTGTTTATATTAGTTTGAAGTTTAACTTTGGTTATGTTTCTGCCAAATGCTTCTACAATTGGTTGTTATTTCTGTCCAGTTTCTGGTGTTCAAAGTCTTTCTTCCAGTGTGCAAAGTACTCCAGAAAAAAATGGCCATTCAGATGGTGCTTCAAAAAGTTCAGAACTCCTTCAGCAGTTCCTAAAATGTTGTCCAAAGAAGGAACTTCTTCAAATGTGTTTTGATAAGGACAAAAAAAACATTTCATCAAAAAGCAGGATGACTGAAACGAAGTCAACCAGTAAGATAATTAAGAAACAGGACACAAAAAAAGTTTCTAGTTTCAGCCATCAGCCCTCTAGAAAGCAACCTCGGAAGGGTGAAAACCCCACTCGACTTGTACCTCCTCCAGACCAGTCTTCTGATTTTGGCCATTCAAACACCTGGATCTGTAAAAATGCTGCTTGTAGGGCAGTTCTGTCCATAGATGACACATTTTGTAGACGATGCTCTTGCTGTATTTGTCACCATTTTGATGATAACAAGGATCCTAGTCTCTGGTTGGTATGCTCATCTGAATCTACTCAAGGGGACTCCTGTGGGTTGTCTTGCCATATTGAATGTGCCCTTCAACATGAAAAGGTGGGAGTTGTTGATCATGGGCAGCTAATGCAACTAGACGGTGGTTATTGTTGCGCATCCTGTGGTAAAGTTACTGGGATACTTGGGTAAGTAAATTTGTTCACTTGTGCTGTGGATGATATTTGTCATTTCTCCTTCCACATTTTTGTTGTTGATATACTGAAGTTTTGATTTGTTTATAGACATGATTTACAATAGGACACTATGGCGTTGTTTTATTTATGTTGCTGACTCTACCTACTAGAAATATGTGGTTGTTGTTGATATATACCAAGGTTTTGGTGAATTTATAATAGTTTGTATACTTGATTGAGCACAAGTTGATATATTGGAGGAAAAATCACACCAAATACAGCAAATATAGAAGAATTTGCTGTCCCACAGAGTCAGACTTCTACAGTTTAAAGCTCTATGTCCAAATTACTAGTTGCTACTAACTTTTTTCCCCTAAACTGGCATCATGACTGATGGAATCTTGATGGTGAATTCCACATCTAGACTCTTAGCTCCTCCAATCTTCATCCATGGCTCCAAGATGCAAAGAAAATCAACAAAACATGGTAGAGAAGAGGGTGATTTGGGCGCACCGCTTTCGAGTAGAGGATAAGCAAAAAAATGATGATCTTGCTACAAGGAGGAATTCCTTAATGAAATATCTTAAGGAGTAAAAACTCCAAAGAGAGAACAAGACTTTGAAGAGAGAATTTTGAATACTCAAATCTCAATAATGCTCAAAGTGACGAGCCAATACAAGAGGTGAGAATATATAGAGCGAGGTAGCTTAGGGAGCAAGCTAGACAAATTAAGGTAAAAATGGAACATTGGTTGCCTAACCCATGGTGAATTGGTGCGCCTAAAACATATGAATTTGGAATTCAAAAGTGGCGCCAATTCTAATGGCTCTAGAATTCATGTGTCACCATGTGCTCTAGATCTAGACTAACCTATAAGAAGTTGCCATTCAAGAATGGTGTGACTAATGGATGACACATCTGACTAAATGAAGTTTACTAACCTATGGTGGGTGTATAATACACCAAGGTGGACATCCAACTCCATGTGGGTGGCGCCACCTCCTAGGCCCATAAACCAATCCATTTAATTAGATGGGTCATTTACTAGTTACCTCGTCTACTCATTACACCTTAAATAGAAAAATGCAAGGAAATACATCTATAATACTTGACCCCGAAATAAAAGACAATATTACAAAAAATAAAATAAAATTTACAAGTAAAAGAAAATGGAGATAACCCAAGGCTCAAAAATGAGCTTGAGCCTTTTATCTTCAAGCCTAACTCACTCCTCTTGGTTCCTTTTGTTTCCATCAATGACAGTTACTATTCAACATATTCTAGTAATACATGACTGCTAATGGCAATTATCATTAGTATATTACACCTATTTTAATATGTAATTGTTCCTACTTTCTGTGGATAACTGCCATTAATGCCCCTAGCCCAGTTCCCATCAGTTGTGACAGTATAATTCTTCTCGACTTTCATTTTGAATATAATATACTATTTAGTAAAAGAATTTAAAAAGGACTTGCCTATGTTTTCTGCATTACGCTGTCCACAAGTCACTCATCTGACATGCTTGCAGCAAGAAAGCAAACATACTATTGCAGTTTTTGCTGCATTTCATTTGTATTTTGAAAAGAATTGAAATCCCTTATGACAGTTTTCAGTTCCTCAAAAGATGTGTATACTGTATAATTGTCAAACCATTTGCAGTTTGTATGTCGGTAAGTAAATTTACTTCCACGTGTTGATGACCTTGGTGATAAATGTTTATAAATGGCAGATGCTGGAAGAAGCAGCTAAATATAGCAAAGGATGCTCGGCGTGTTGATGTACTCTGTTACAGGATATATTTGAGCTACAGACTCTTGGACGGAACCTCAAAATTCAAAGACTTGCATCAAACAGTACAGGAGGCAAAGACTAAACTGGAGACAGAAGTTGGTCCTGTCAATGGTGTTTCTGCCAAGATGGCTCGAGGCATAGTCAGCAGACTCCCTATTGCCAGTGATATACAGAAACTTTGCTCTCTTGCTATTGAGAAAGCTGATAGCTGGCTTGCTACCGTTCCCAATGTAAATCCAGATTCCACAGGTTGTAACTAATGCTCTTTAACTTTTTTTTTTGTATATTTTTTTTTTTGGGGGGAGGAGGGCTTAAATTTGTTGCTTTTCGGTCTCATTTATTTGACACACGATGGTGTTTTTATTACTCACAGGGGGTTCACTTCCTGCTGCTTGCAAGTTTATTTTTGAAGAGGTAACAACTTCCTCAGTCAAAATCATTTTAATTGAAATGTCAAATACATGTTTTGAGGAAATTAAGGGATACAAGCTCTGGTATTACAAGAGTCGGGAAGAATTACCCACTAAAGATCCTGTTTCCTTGTTTCCCAAATATCAGAGGAGGATTTTGATATCCAACCTCAAGCCTTGCACACAATATACTTTTCGGATTATATCTTACACTGATACCTGTGACTTGGGTCATTCTGAGGCTAAGTGTTTCACCAAGAGCATCGAGATAATTAAAAACAATCCCTCTTCGTCTGCTGCTATGAATCATGAAAAAGAGAACATTCTAACTAGGGGCAATTCTTCGGGCTCGAGGGTGGGGCCCAATGCTACAATGGAAGGCTATGGATTCAAGGTTCGAGACCTTGGGAAAATTTTGCGCCTTGCTTGGGCTCAAGAACAAGGTTACTTCGAAGAGTTTTGCTGTGCCAATGTGAAAAATTGCTGTGGACAAAGTGAAACGGACAAGCCTAGAATTCCAGAAGCACAGTTACCTTCAGTTTCACGAGGCCTTGATTTAAATGTTGTTTCCGTGCCTGATTTAAATGAAGAGCTAACACCTCCTTTTGAGTATTCTAGGGATGAAGATAATGGTTGCTCTTTGCTGCAAGCTGTTGAGGCAGACGATGATGCTGCTTCTCATGATCTAGAGAAAAATGGTTTGGCAAGATCACATGGGAGTGGTGATTCCCAAACCTGGGCCCATGGACCAGCAGGAGAAGTGTCTGCTGTTGATTCTCGCATAGATATGTGCAGGAGGAAAAGGATAGCAAGCACAATAGAAGAGACACATGACTGTGACAGCACATTGATAAATGGTTCTCCTTTACGCATATCTGATGGTTCGTGTACCTTGGATGAGAACTTTGAGTATTGTGTGAAAGTAATCCGTTGGCTAGAATGTGAGGGTCACATCAAACAGGAATTTAGGTTGAAATTGCTAACATGGTTTAGTTTAAGGGCGACAGAGCAAGAACGCAGGGTGGTTAATACCTTCATTCAAACTCTTATCGATGATCCAAGTAGTTTGGCAGGGCAACTGGTAGACTCTTTTTCTGATATTATATCCAACAAGAGGCAAAGAAATGGATTCTGTAGTAAAGCCGTGGCATCAAATTAAGGGTGATCGCGTTATACAAGTTTATCATATGCTTCAACCTTTCCATTTATCAGTGTCACAAAAAATCACCACCTCTGATTGTCTTCCTTGTACAGGCATTTTTTTTAAAACTAATCATCTTCCAAGGGATTCATTTTTATTGCAGGCAAGTTTTGTCTTGCTAAAAGGATTTGCTTCGATGATCGCAAAAACAGTAACTCATTTTTCCCAGGTGGGGGGATTTATGGACATGAAGTTTCAAGATGTAGGAGGCATTATGCTATTTCTAAATTGCTGCAATTATTTTCAGTAATGAATTTAATTACGGAAGATATTATTTTCGTATTGAAACTCTCTTCTCATAACCTTTATTTGAAGAAGGTACGTTATTCAATTGCTGATTTGATTTATTCACGTCATCTTTGTTGTTCACCGCACTATGAACTGGCAAATGAAAATGTTGGTACTAGTATTTTCACGTTTGTGTCTTTTAAATTAGGACTGAAGTTTGATCCTCAAAGTTAAGAAGATAATCATAATTGATGACACTACTTTATTCTTAAATTTACTTTATTCTTTAATGGATTGACTTGGTGAGAGGGAAATTAGTTGGGTGTCAAAGAGGGAAGGTCCAATATTTTCTGATTATAAAAAAAGTTAAGCTTTCCTTAAAAAAAGGTTGGCTTAAATGACTCTCATTGGTCTATTTTCCTGCCCCCTCCTCACAAGGTATTGCATTTTCGCATTCAATTCAGCAAACTGATCATATTTTTTTAGCTTTGGAATTTTAAAAGCTCTCGTGGATCTATTCTAAGCATTTATAAAGGCATGTTTTGTTTTCTTATTATTTGTTTAATTATTATAGATATCTTTTATAAGATGTAGTTTTATTTGAATAGAAAATATTCACAGCATGCTGAGAATTTCTTTAAGTGGAAATTTTTTTCATACACAATTTGAGAGAAATCAGACACCTACCACATGAATTAACGGCAACTTAACATAAATAATGATCTAAAGTGAACTTCTGAAATAGTTTTTTTCTTCTAATTTTTGTATTATATATATTTTTAAATTAAATATGGTTTTGAGTCTGTGGATGAGATTAAAGGAATATTTATATTAATATATAATTAAATGGTTATTAACAGAGTATTTAAAGAAAATTTGTTTAATAATTAATTGAATTCACGTGTGTTCGTGAGAGAAGAATAATGGTGCTTGGACTCGTTTAAAAGAGAATAATATATCACGATTCACGGCGTTGTCGGCACGACAGAAGGAGACACATTATAGGGGCTTTTCTCAATCTTGAAACGCAACGTCCTTAACGTCAAGTTAAATTTGACTTTTTTCTTTGTAGTAAAACAAAAAATATATACATAGCAAGTGCAATTAATAATTTAAAAGTTGAGACTGCATGTATTGTTTCTACTTCCAACTTTTATTTTTACTATACGGAAATATCATTTTAAATGTAGGGTCTCTAAGAAGGGATCTTCTAATACGTTTGAGTCTTACATTAAGCATCCAATGTATTAAGTATTTACTTGTCTACGTGTCTGGTCAATGTTTTTCAACAAAAAATATATATTTTGATTCTTTAAACAGTGCGGTTGCGATAATTGGTATTTTTCTTGCAATATTTTGGCATCTAAGTATTATTAAGTTTAATTATAATAACCATTTAATCTTCATAGTTAAAAATGCTTTATTTTAGTTTTACATATACCGTTTTTATTCTTTTAGTCTAATTGTCTATTTTTATAAAGACTAAAATAGATTATTTATGTAATTATGAAAACTAAAAATAAAAATATATGTATAGAGACTAAAATAAAATATTTTTAATTAGAGACTAAAAGATAAATTTGGGATGAAAATAATCAAACCATATTATAATTCTTATTTTTTTTATTAAAAGTGTTATCACTTGTAGGCCATTTATTTTGACTATAAATAGGGACCAACTATTCAGCACCATAACTCTAAAGTGAGGTCCCAACACACTGCTTCTTATTGAACTCAACCAAACATGACAACAACCGAAACGGGTCTTTCAGCTGCTTTGAATGCGAGAATTGAAGGGTGTGGCACCGAAACTATAGTGTTTGGTCATGGCTACGGAACGGACCAGTCTATATGGGACGAAATCCTTCCCCTGCTTTCTCAAAATTACCGTCTTGTTCCTTCGATTGGGCCTTTGCTGGAACTGTGAAGGATCACAACCTTTATGACCCTCTCAAGTATTCTTCTCTCCAAGGTTTTGTTGATGACTTGATCACTCTGCTGAACGAGATGGGCCTCAAAGACGTCACTTTTGTGGGCCATTCCATGTCGGCCATCATTGGTTGCATTGCCTCTGTCAAAAGGCCTCAGCTTTTCAAGAGCCTTATTCTACTTGCTGCTTCTCCAAGGTATCTATGTATCTCTCATGTTCTTTAATTTTACTCCCCTCAAAATTTTGCTAATTACTTTCTTACCCTTACTTCGATTAATTTGTTCCTTACGTTTTGGCTTCATCTGGTTCGATACTCTTGCCTTTTCTCTTATGATTGAGTTAATCGATAATTATCAATACATTGTTATTGTAAAGTTTTTTATACTAACAATTAATTATATTTTTTAAATTAATTTATTTTATTTTTATTTGATTAAATAAATAAATAATATATTATTATTAAAAGATATAATTAATTACCGGTATAAGTATATAAATGATTAACTCATAATTTAATTAAAGGTATGATCTGTCTGTTTGACCCGCAAGCCATCCAAGTCTATCTTCTTTACCTTTACTTTGGTACTAAACCATTTTAACATTGCAGGAATAAAAAGAAAACTAGCTAGTAAGTTTTGTTTTTCTTGAATTATGTGGGTAATTTTAAATTTCATTATTTACCTGAATTCCACGGAATTAGTAATATATATATTCAACAAAAGTATATATATATTTTCATCAAATTTATATTATTTGTTAAAAATTCTAAATTGAATAATAATACGAATAAAATAATGTAATATAATATAAATGAAGAACATCTTCCATATATTATTTTGAGAGTAGAATCATATCTAAACTCAAATTATGCATACTTATTTTAATTGTTAACTTCAATAATAATCATCATAAAAGTCACATAAAAAATAAATTTTTATTCTGAATATATATATTATTTATTTCTCGTAATACATACAAAAGGTAGAATATTTATCTATTTCAAATGAAATAATAGTTAAAATTAAAATAACGATCTGTATCTTAGTCTAATATGTTCCACCTTCAATAAGTCGTTGGTATATTATGTAGGATTCTAAATGCAGATGATTACGAGGGAGGCTTTAACAGTAGAGATGTGGAGCAATTACTCTGGAACATAGAAACCAACTACGAAAACTTTGCTTCTACCTTCTCCTCAATAATAGCAGATCCAGTTAATAATCTCGTTGTGGACAAATATGAAAAGTGTTTGAAAGGAATGCGAGCTGAAGTTGCTCTCTCATTAGCGAAGACCATATTCTATTCCGATTGGAGAGAGATAGTGGACGAGGTGGAGACTCCATGCACTATCATTCAGACCAAAAAGGACGTGGCTGTTCCACACAACGTAGCACTCTACATGCAGAGCAAAATTAAAGGAAGAGTTACTTTGGAGACCATAGACACTGTTGGACATTTTCCCCAGTTAAGTGCACCCCTTGAGTTTGTCCAAGTGCTCAAGGATGCTCTTCACTCATCATAATGCAACAACAACATATATATATATGAATTCGGATGTCTAAATTACTTTTCTGTTTTCCTGCATGCTAGGAGAAGTTAATGTATACTATATATGCATGTGTGATATTTTGTATTTCTTAAATAATTACATTTGTACTTTTATGCCTGATGCTGATGGTGATGAGTATTAATTAATTAGTTAGCCATTGGATTTGGAATTCAAACAGAAAAAAGTGGACATCATATAATTAATCTTAAAACGGAAAGAAGAAAAATAAAATCAAAATCAAAATATTAATATATTATTGTTGTAAAAATAATATTAATATATAATAATCGAATGAATTTTAAGATGTATATTATTTATTTTACACAGAATTGCCAAAAAAATAAAAATTCGCCCTCGTAGGTTTTCTCTGACAAATAACTATCCAATTTTAATTATTTGTCATTCTTCTTATTTCTTAGTATTTGGCGCTGCCAAACGATGGGATAGTTTTTTTTTTTTTTTTTTCAGGATAAAATACTCTCATAGTTTCGAGATTAGAAGAGAAAAAAAAGAAAAAGAAAAAAATAAATATAAAATATATATATATAGAAGTGTTACACTGTCCGAATTATACACACCGAATTATCCTCCAACGTTTAAACTAACGATAATATCAAATAAAAATAATTCTTTTTTACGTTAAATCAATCTACATAAATATAACTTTCAGTGTTCGGGAGGATTTTTCGGACCATCACTTTCAGAAGATTAAGCATTTTTCATATATATATATATATATATATATATTAGTTAAGCACTAGAGTATATTCTAATTATATTCTTTGACACTGATGATTTTGTGATGTTATTAACATTTAATACCTGCAGACAAAATAGTACTGACACATCCGTCCTAAAGCAAAGATACGTCGATACCTGTTACTTGACAGCGTCTTATGATACAACAAGGCAATTAAATTTGTGAAATAATAGTGTATAATAATGTATGCATGAATAATAAAAGATTTATGATAATATTTTTAATTAAATATTTGTGAAATAATAATGTATGTATGAATAGAAAAATTACAAAATAATAAAAGATCATATTTTGATACATTTATTTTAATTATTCATCTATTAAAATTATAACAATGATAATAAATATCATATTTAAGTTTTCGTGCATCTACTTCAATTTTTTAATTATTAGATCATAGTAATTAAATGATAATATAAAATTAGTAGATCATAGGAATTAAATGATAATATAAATAAAAATTTATTTTATAATAATAATATAATCTATTTTATATATTAAATACAAATAATTATTTTATGTTAAAATATTTTTAAAAATGTCAGCATAACTAAAGCGTTTTTAAACACTTTCATTAACTTTTTTTTGACTTTAATTTAATTTAATATGTATTTATGATATATATTTTAAAATTTTAATATTATTTTAAAAATACTCATCATTGAAATAAATATGGTATTACAATATAAATTATTTTAGGAATTTAAATATAATTTATATATATTAAAAATATATATTTAGGAATTTTTAAATATAAATATTATATTATAAATTTTAGTTATATTCAATAAACATTGAACATATGTACAAATCGTAGTTATAAATAATAAATTAATTTTTTTTATTTTAATTATAAGTAACAATTATGTTTTTTAAAATTATTTAAAAGTAAATTTATTAATAACTCTATTTTTTTATTTACTTATAACTAATTAAATATAAAATAGAAAATATAAATAAAATTTAAACTTATGATTAAATCAATTAAAATAATTATATTAATGTGATAGTTTCTTATAATTAACGCAAGAGAGATAGTAGATTAGATGTAATTATATAAAGATTGTTATAATTAAATTATTGTTATTAAGATTACTTAAAATTTTATATTTTTAATTTAACTTTTGTTCTCCTAGATTAATTGACACGATTTGTTCGACCGAAAATATAGAAATTTGATATCGAGGTGATTCATTTTGGCTTAAGAATAAAGAGTATTGTTATATGTTTCGAATTATTGTTCGATTCAGCTTCCAAATAATTAAAAAATTAATATTATTTTAATAAATTTATTATAAAATAATTATTTAATTTAATATTTTATTATTTAAATTAATTTTTTAATGATTTGGACAAAATTTGGTTCCATTCATTCGGAACATCAAGCATTTTTCAAGAATGAATATTTTGCGTAATCGTCCTCGAATGTGACAATAACGAATAAAAATATGGCACATCATAAATGAATAATTAGTAATAAAGATGAATAAAATATGGTACACACAGGATTTACAGTTTGTTGACTAATTTAACCTTGGAAGGAAGAAGCAAATAATAAGAAGAAGGAGGGGCAAAAGAGTCAGAAAGGCGAAAAGAAACATGTAACAAGCACTGGTAATAGATGCGTCTTCGTTTTACAGAAAAGGATGGTAGTGGGTGGTGTCAGAGTTCAACGTTTTCTGAGTTCACTCGCTTTTTCTCGCTCCAATCCTTCCTTCTCTCTGCGAGCATTTTCCGCCATGGCCGAAGAATTTGTGAAGGGAACTCTTCATCAAAACGGCGTCGCTGTCATCACTCTCAATCGCCCCAAAGCTCTCAACGCCATGAACCTAGGTCATTTTTTTCATTCATTTTCTTCTTCGTTTCCACAATTACGCCTGCTTTTAAGTTCAGAATTCTGTTTCGAGATTTCGACTGTGTACTTCAACTCGCTCTTATCGTGGAGCTTCTGGCTTAGTTGAAAATTAATTTCTGCGATTAGTGTCATAAGCCCCTGGGATATTAGGAGAGTGCAGAGTTTGGTTTGTTTTTATTGAATTTTGAAGGGAATGATGATTATGGATATTGATTGTTCCACGTAGAATGAGAAAAACTAGGTCTGGATCTGTTTATTTTGGTTCAAGTTATTGCTCTTTCGCAGTTCTGAGTTAATTATTTGTGCTTTTGATTTGCAAATCTTTGTGGTGCAGATATGGATTTAAAGTATAAAAGTTATCTTGATGAATGGGAATCGGACCCAAGTGTCAAATGTGTACTGGTTGATAGCAGCTCGTCTCGTGCCTTTTGTGCCGGTATGATTGTGTCGTTCAGGGAATATACGAAATTCGTTAATCTTTTAATGTGATACTTATACTTTATTGAAGCGTGTTTCTAGCTTAAATAGATTAAATATTAGCTTCTTTTGCAGATATTCTGTTTTGGATTTGAGGTTTTTTGGTTTTGAGTGCTAGGTAAGGTTTTGAGAGTCACCATTGATGGTCAATGCAGGTATGGATATTAAAGGGGTTGTAGCTGAAATACAACAGGACAAAAACACTCCTTTAGTGCAGAAGGTCTCATATTATTTGTTTCAACCCCAAGTGTATTAACATACATGCTTATCCCCGTTGCAGTTGTGATGTACTTCATTGGATATATTTTTTCATCTTTGTCAACATCATCATCTTCTTTCAATGCTATCCTTTTGGTTTATAGTTTGCGTTCCGTCAAATAAAAACTTTCTCTGTTCTCAATGACTGCTTACTCGATAACCGAGATCTTAGTTTATCTGCAGGTGGTGATGTGAAGCAGATAACCATCAAAAACCATCTATCAGATATGATTGAGGTCTAGTTGTGTCCTTTGTAATATATGCCTTCAAATTCATACCCTTTCACTTTATCAAAACCATGCCAATGCAAAATAAATACCCTTCCTATTGGAATAGTTTGCACTTGTAAACTAATAATGAATATATTTCTAATATACTCTAGAGAAAGTATTGGCTGTACTGTTAGTTTATTATGTCACATTATTCATGACAAACCAGCTTTAAAAGCTTCAACTTATAAGATAATGGATAATGTCCAGTTATTGAGGGAGTTTCATGACCTATTAAGGAGGCTCTTGGAAGAGTTTATTTGAACTCATTGGTGTAGTTTATGACCTTACTTGTTTATAAAGTTATTTCAATGAGTTTCACAGAGATGCTTATCATCAAATAAGATCTTTTTAGCTTATTTTAGTAACTTCAACATAGTTCATTTGGTAAGAGGTTGTGGAATTAGTTTTATATTAAGTTATGTACCCAAATGCGCACTAAATAAAAAGTAAAATGTATAAAATATGCAATCTCTGCGAGTTGAGAAGCCATCTTTGCAACTTATTTTTCTTCTTTTTTTGGGTAAGCATTAAGGTTTCCTCACTCCTGAAGGTGTGTGATCAATACCTGCTCTGGTGTTGTTATGGCCATGCCAGAAGGTGCTTCCAGCTTGTCAGTAGAAGATTTACCCTTTTGACAGTTTTTTCTTTCCCTTGACATTGAACTTCCTTTGAGTGTTCTAGTGTATGTGAAACTAGAACTGATATGTAATTTGGTTGATTTTAGACAGTTTTTGTTGTCAGTTGGATTGTATTCCGTCCGATTCTTACTAATTGCTATCAACTAAGGTAATCAAACTCGAGAGTCTAGGTAAAGTTGTGAAGGTTCATAAACTTGACTCAAACTCAACTCATAAGAGTTTACCTAATATGAAAATAATATTGATAAAAAATAATCATAATATATAAACAAAATATAATGCCATAAATTAATAAAAAATCAACATTCCAACATCGCAGTAAAACAAACCGTAGTAACAAAGTATGATAATACAACTTCAAATTATACCATATACACAAATGACCAAACTGTAAGTTCATAAAGTAAAACATCAAACTATAAACTCAAGATCCGAAAAGTTTGCAGTAGTCTCATATTCTTCTCATTTCCCAAATAATGCTGCAAGTTCTGAACCTAAAACAAAAAGGGAAAAGGATAAAAATGTGCTTGTAATGAAAAGAGTTGCTAAACAGAGCCAAAAAAAAGAGGATAAACTTAAATATGTTTTTAACCCTTCAAATATGAGATATATTTGTTTTTAATCTCTCAAATTTAAAATTGATTTTTTTAGTTCCCAAAATTTGTGAAAAACTTATTTTAGTCTTTCTATTTACTAAAAGCATCAAAACTCACCTTATTAATGAAAACATTATATTAAATTTAGTTGTTGTTGTACAATTGACTCAATTTATCTTTGTTAGAAATACTACAAATGGTCTTGAGGGATTAAAATATGCTTATATAGGAACTAAAAAGATCAATTTTAAATTTAAGGGACCAAAATCATATTTACTCATAATTTGAGGGATTAAAGACATTTAAACTAAAAGAAAATATTTGGCCAAATGGTGCTGTTTTAGGGCCTCTTTAGAGCTTGTTTCTGTACTTATAGCAGACTTGCTAAATCAGCCTTGGAATCACAGTTTTGAGAAACTTCGTTCAATCCTAGTTTCCTTGTGAATGATTGCATTTTTGGACCCTAATCCTAAATCAATTTAACCTGTTGAGTTTAACAACAATGCTGCCAGCAATTATGCATTTTGGTGCATCTTGCATTTTTTAGCATGACCTATTAATGTACTAAATAAAAATTATTTACTTTTTATGTTTGTATATTTTAGGTCTTTACTGCTGAGTATTCTTTGATATGCAAAATTTCCGATTACAAGAAGCCATATATAAGCTTCATGGATGGAATAACAATGGGTTTTGGAATTGGTTTATCTGGTCATGGCCGCTATCGCATCATAACAGAGGTATGCTCTCCTAGTTGCCTCATTTAATCATTAATTGCCGTGGTAGATCCTGTTTGTGACTTTTCATTTTCGTACACATTTTCAGAGAACTGTTCTTGCAATGCCAGAAAATGGAATTGGTTTGTTCCCAGATGTAGGTTTTGCTTATATAGCGGCTCAAAGTCCAGGGGAAGGATCTGTTGGTACTTTTCTTTTTCCAAATTAATACAATATTTGTAGTTCTTTATTGCTTTTATAGACTAGCAAATGTGGATTTGAGGGTTGTTAAAATACCAATGACTCTCTTTCATTTATTTTTTGTGCATTACTCTGTTGTAGTCTGCCATATGATTTCATGTTGTGTGCTACAGTATTGAAGCATCTAGATGTATCTCAGGTTTCAGCTAAAATTAGTTTGTTTATATATTGTTGAAAGGTTCCTCCACTTGCTTTTTATGGATTCTCTGAGTTGTGTTTCTTTGATTTTTTTTTTTTTTTTTTTACTTTCTAATTGCAGGTGCGTATCTTGGATTGACTGGAAAGAGGATTTCTACTCCTTCAGATGCAATATATGTTGGCCTTGGAACACATTATGTGCCATCTGGGAAGTTAGGTTCATTCAAGGAGGCCCTTTTGGCAACGAACTTGTATGCTATCTTGAAACTTTGACTGCTCGAGTCTCTTTTAAGATTATCGCCCCCATTGACTTCATCAGTTTAGATTGAATTGGACCCATGAAATGATAACACTTCATAGGCATGTGTTTATGTCTTGTAGAGCATGTCCCGCACATTTTGCTCGTGGTTGCATGTTTGTTGAATAATCTATCATATCAATAGATATAATGATCATAAATCTGTGAACATCAATTCCATTACTGTATTGGCTGTCATGAAGTACATTATTTGAGTGCATACGAACTGGTCTTCAAACATCAAAGATATAACAACCTTACAAAAAACTCATTGGTTGTATAGTTCCCAGGATCCACATCAGGATATCAAAGTACTTTTAGCAAGATATGAGTCCAACCCTGAGTCTGAGGCGCAGTTGAAATTGCTTTTACCTCAGATAATTTCTTCATTTGGAGGAAATAAATCAGTCACTGAAATCATTAAGGAGCTAAAAGAGCACCAATCAAGCACTGATCCTAATGGTATGCTGATTGACATATCGTTTGTGTTTATACTGAAATGTCCCGCTACTCTTGTTTATATCACATACTGATGTTTGAAATTAGAGTTTATCGCCAGCCTAGTTATAATATTCTCGTAATTTTCTATTTCTAGTTGTGGAGTGGGCCAATGAAGCTATCCAAGGCCTTGGAAAAGGTGCTCCCTTTTCCCTTTTCTTGACCAACAAGCATTTCTCTGATGTTACTTCTGCGGTGGCGCAGAATGACAGTGAACTATCCACGGTAAGTACTCTATGTCAGGGGAGAGGATGGTGTTAGTTTCCATGTTTCCAAACTGATTTATGTATTCCATCATCTGTATTTGGGGAATTCCAGCTTAGTGGTGTAATGAAAACTGAGTATCGCATTGCCTTGAGGTCTTCATTGCGACATGATTTTTCAGAAGGTGTCCGAGCAGTGCTGGTGGACAAGGATCAGGTTCTCTCTTTCTTATGATTTTTATATTTTTAATCTGTGAGACAAACTTCAATTTTAATTGTTCACTGAACTAGGAAATCAAAGGTGCAATTGACTTGTCTGCTGAAAAGAATCGGTGTACCTAAAAGTTATCATGTATTTTACCTCGTGGTCTTGTGGGGACGTGGGTGGGGTACATAAGATATTATTGGTGAAATGAAATCATGCAAAAATTATGCTCGTCCTTTTTGTACTAATGCTTTCCTTCTTCCAAAGCTTGGAAAACACGTGAGAATGTTTAGTTGAAAATACATGTGCCTGATTAATCGTTCTTTAACGGTTTTGTTTTGAAAAAAACAATAGCACAAAAATCTGTTTGGATGCTTGTATATTTAGTTGTTTCTGTTTTCTCAAACATTCAACGGACTTTCAGCTCTCACTTCAAACTAACACAGCTCCTGTTGCCGCCTACACCACCTCTACCGTCATTACCACCATTGCCTTTGCCAGTGCCCTCAAGTTTCAAAATTCGTTAAAAGCATAATTTATCAAACATGTTTTTGATATTTTTTATTCTGTGAAATAAATTGTATGAAATAGTTTCCGAAAACAGTAGTAAAATCAAATATGCCCCATATATCCGATTTCTATGCGTAAGAATCTACAGTTCAAAGTATTTATATCTGGAATTTGGTCCTGTCTGCACATATTTTTTGTTTGCCAAACTATTAAATAGAATCCTTTTAGATTTCCCCTTTAACCCATGAAGGTATTTATCCTTCAATATTTGGTATATGCTGTTTCCTACTTCAGTAATAGCTTCAATCATTCAATAATTGTTCTTCCGCAGAATCCAAAATGGGAACCATCAAGCTTGGAGGAAGTTGATCCGAGTGCAGTGGAAGCCGTCTTTGAGCCATTAGAACCAGAGGTTGAGGAGTTGAGAGTGTAATTTTAGAAGGAAAATGTACTCTTTTCACATCTTCAAATACATTACAGAATTGTAGGCACTGCATAAAATAAACAGATGGTGTTTCATTGGGTCTGGGTTCCAAGTCCAGGTCCAGCGTGTTGCTTGTACTGTTCACCATATGGTGTTCTTGGAATGTCAAAGGACGATGTTGCATCTATTATACCCACTACTCTTAAGAAAATCTTCTATCTTCTACTCTAACAAAACAAGGTTCTGCTCAACACGTGTCTCATCCCTCTACTTCCATTTTCCCGCTTCTTTGTGTGTCTACTCATGAATCTTGCAGAACACATTTCTCTTTTTTGCTCTATTTAAACAAACTACAATAACATATAATTGAACATTTTATTAATATAAAAACGTCATCTTGCTAAGCCACTCAAAATATCTTCTCTCCCTCGCAGGAGTCACTACTTAAAATGTTTTCGATTTTAAAGTGAACCGTCATTTAATATTTTTATTTTCTCACTACACCATATAATAATTATAAATTTAAAATATATTCAAGTGAGTGTGATTGAAATCTGAATTTAAGTTAATTGGAATTACATATATAATATAATTTACAAGTTATGTATTTAATTTGAAACATATGCTTTATTAACAGTATAATATTTAATTTTCTCACTTAAATGTCGTAATTGAGGAAAAGATTGGAAAATGTTTTTCAAATAATTTTAATTATATATTTAGATTGAAGCATATATATTTTGCTAAAAAGAATATAATATTTAATTTTCTAAAAAACCTGATATCATTCAAGCAATGATATTAAGTCTCTAACCAACCTTTCATTCAGGACAAGCAATGATATAAATATTAATTAATTCACCAATAAGAAGTGTGCTTCCATGAAGGCTTAAAACAAGATAAATATAATTATACGACGATAATAGCAAATGTTCGTCAAATTAAAATAGTTCATTCACCTTTTAATTTTGTTTTAAAAAACTTTTCAAACTAGATGTCAGGTGGAAAAAGAGATAGCCCTATACAGTGAATATCACGAGGCTTCTGTACCTGCTCATTACACCAAAAAAAAAAAAAAAAAAACCAGTCCGAACTCTTACCAAGTTCGCATTCGTAAAAGCAGATGAAAAAAATGGCACGGTCTCTAAAAAAGACGACATGGCTACAAACTCTAAAATGTTTTCACTGATAAGCACGTAAATTCTAGATTCTAAATCCTAAACTCTAAAATGTTTTACTTTGGTTAAAGCTTTTATTTGGTTTCTTATAATATTTTTTTGTTTCAATTTAGTCCCACTTTAATTTTTGGTTTCAATTTGGTCCTCAATAATTTAAATTATTGCAATTTGGGACTTCCGTCCAAATGATTTAAACGGAGTTAACGGTTGGCCATGTGGATGCCACGTAGATGCCACGTAGATGTGTAGGTGGATGTCAAATTTCTTTAATACACCTGGAACCAGAACGGCCCGTTCTGGTTGCACACTTGGTGTGTTAATTTTGTACCTTGAACGGGCCCGTTCTGGTTTCAGAACGGGCCGTTCTGGTTTCAGAACGGGCCGTTCTGCTTCCAGGTGTGTTCATGGAATTTGACCCACCTATGCATCTACGTAACATCCACCTGGCATTCAAATAACCAACAGTTAATTCTGTTTAAATCATTTGAACGAAAGTCCAAAATTATAATAATTTAAATTATTAGGGACCAAATTGAAACAAAAAATTAAAGTGAGACTAAATTGAAAAAAAAAATATTATAAAAAACCAAATAAGGGTTTTAACCTTTTACTTTCATACATTATAAAAAGTCTGTTGCTTCAGGTTAAAGGGGGTGTATATCATACAGCCAATGCGGAATCAAATAGCCCCCTTAACTCTAAAATCAATGGAAAGCAAATGAAGAGGGCCTATTCAGCTATGGGTAATTGAGCTTCTGGTGTATTAAGCATATCGAATTGGCTTTTGTTACCTCACTTACTTCTTTCTTGATGTGGTCATGAACAACTTCCTTTTACACTAAAGGTATTTTAATCAAGTCAATTCCGTTTGCAGTTTTGGTTGAACGCCTCAAGATTGTCGTGCTTTATACTTTCTATTGGAGTTTTGTTAAATCTTTGCTCAACAACGTAGGTATTGGAAGAGAATTATTATATTTAAAATAAAGTTTGATTAAATTTTATCCTCTAATCAATAGAGTTCTTAATATGCATCCTGCCATATAGAAAATGAAAAAACAATTTCTTACCTGTGATAAAAACTTGCTCCGCTGAATTCGGTAGGCAAGTTCTCCAAACTTCTTTGATATTTAAGAATTTTATTATATATTAGTTTTTGTTCCCTCCGTGCTATCTAATCACATTCTTTTTATATTCGAAGTCATGGATAAACAAACATGACAGGAGAAAACTTGTAGCCCAAGCCCGCTTAAAAAGAAAATGGATTCTGCACAAAAAACGCAATAACAGACTCGAGAGTTGCAATGAACATGAAAATGTGCCTAATCATGTCCATAAATAATTGAAAAGAATAGACATAAAACATATTTTAGCATGATAAATATTTTTTTTCCTAGTTTTTATATCCATTTGTATTAAAAAAAATATATCATTGTAAAGTTACGGCTTAATCTGAAAAAAAAAAAAAAAATCTATTCATACATTAATTTATACACTTTGTTAGATTTCTTTTGAAAAAAAATGTACATTTCTTGATTAAAAGAGTGAACTCTAACACAAGTGATTGATGATAACAAATGTCCCACTTAAGCACAAAGATGTTTTGATTATTAATATGCATGCTTTGTGTGTCATTATGTGTTAGAGTCATGTTATGTTATTTGTTTTTAAGGGAATATATATTTATCAAGTGGAAGATTTTTATTAGAGGGATTTGCACACAACTTTACATTAGTAAAATATTATTCATTTTGAATTCATATCCTTATAATTTTGTTTTTTATCATCACCGAAAATTCTTTAACAAATGAAATATATGTATATTTTATAAATTTTTATTTTTCTTATTCTATTGATGGGAGACATGATACATATGAACAGATTTTCTTTAATTAATTTTAAATATTGATACTAAGAGTCTAAATCAGTTATAAATGGTTTACGTATAACTGATGTTTTAGAATGAAAAATAAATTCATAATCACTTTTAAAAATATTGAAAATATTTTTTTAATTAGTCTAATCCATTAAGTTAAGTGCTGTTCAAAAAAAAAATTAACTAATTATCGATTGTTGGTATTTTTCTTCTTCTTTTTCTTTCTTTGACTTTATAATGTTTTGATATCCACTAATTCTTATTTTTAAATTATTAAAATTTGAAAAGGAGTTTGATAATTTTGAAATATAACATTAGCTTCATATCATCTAATACTGTTCTAATATAATTTTTAAATATTTTTTAATATTAGAACCCAAAAATATGAAAATACCCTTAATAATCACAATCCCATTTTCAATCAAACTATAGTTGCAAAAATTTTACATGCTTCATTTTATACTAGAATATTAAGTACAATATTAAAATAAATTTCCAGAGTTTCTTTACAGTTATCTAGATTTCAAATTAAATTACTAAAATACCCTTGACCTTCTAATAAATATGAGTTCAGTTTTCTCAAACTGTCAATAATTATTGAAAATATTACACGCATTATACTTTAAATTTGAAAAGAATTAAATAATTTAGTACACAAGTCCACAAAATACACAACAAAAACTAATTTTTTTTTCTCATATACAAAATAAAAACTCATTTTCATTATGTATGACACCCACGATATAACGAAAACTTAATTCTCGTTGTTTATTGTTTGTAAAAGAAAATAAACTTTCGTTATATATCCCTGGCATACACAACACAAGCAAATTTTCATTGTACATATTAAACACACGTAACATAAACTTGTGTCCATTATATACGTGCTCAAAATACACAACAAAAACTCATTTGTTCAAGGTATCAATGATTTTTTTTTTTTATCATGTTGTAATGAGTGTCAAACATGAGTTATTTTCATCAAATGCTTTAATTTTAAAAAGTGAATTGAAATAATAAAATGGTGGTGTAAGTGTATCTGAGACCCGGACGGTTTCGTGGGCGGGCCAGAGTTCACATCTTTAAACCCAAATACAGAGTTCACATCATAGGGTTGAGACTATTTTACAATGTATTCCTACATTTTTTTAAACCTTTTTAAAGTCCATTTCTTCTATATATATAAAAATAAAAAAAAAATAAAAATTAAAGGAAGGGATGACGCATGTCAGAGCAGCTCTGTTACCAGCCAGGTATATATACAGCTCCATCCAGCAGTACACACCAGTAGGAGATGATAATGTATAGATTCTCATCCTACCCAGTAACTCAAACCTGTCCTTTCTTCCTCCATCTTGCAGCCCTTTGATTAACTTGATTCTTTGAATTGGGTTCCACAAGTAGCAAACGTGACATAACATATGACAAAAGTTCTTCACGGTGAGAGAAGGTAAAGTCCAAATGAGCATATTCATACTCATTATATGACGCATGCACACCTGCATCCTTCATCAATTTATAGTGTCTCTTTACCATTGAAGGTCGTATCACTCTGTCTTTTTGACCAGCAACCAGATCAACAGGAATGTTGATGAGTCCATAGTGTTCACCCAAATCCAAAGGCTCAGGGGAACCATACTCTCTGACATTAGCATAAGCACTCCCATAATCAAACATTCTAAATCTTCTAGTACGCTTTATCTGTGCAAGATGGAGAGCAACACCAAAAGATACTCCTGGCATGTCATTCATGTTGTAATGTGGTAATCCTAAAACTCCAACCCAATTTGAGCTGTCCCCACCAACAACATAACCTACTAAAGTTTGAACCAATCCTCCAACTGCAGGCAGGTTCTGCAGGTCTCGAGCTAACTTGTTAACAAGCATACGGAAAAACCTGGTTGGTATATAGAAGGCTGGGAAAATACGAGACAAAATAGGGGCCAGCAAAAATAATACATGCTCCACCACAGAAAAGACTAGGTTAGAGTCGTGATGAAATCCAGCAGGTGATAACAAAACCAATCTTGAAAGTCTATGGGGCTTCGCTTCTATTCTACGTGTAACAACATACATTATCATAGAAGCTCCTCCCAAACTATGGCAAATTGCACAAAGCTTGTAAAGCTGATCACCATTACTTTCCTCCTCAACACCAGGCTTGCTTAGCTTCAATTCAGCAGTTTTTACTTGATGAATTTTCTCTATCAGAGCAGGAATATCCTCAGTCCCATGTTCGTTGATGGAGTACTGCCAGTATCTGCATTACATCAATCTCACAAGAATAAATAGTATGATAAATATGAACCACATCGTATCACACCACACAAGAAAGTCACTAGGATTTTGCTTTGAGAAGAACTTACGCACGAGACGAGATGTTCTTGTTGACATGTTCCCTAGAAACCAAACCACGAAAGTTTCCCAGAAATACATCATACCCTGTAAATAAACAAATATGTACTAATTCTTAAAACAGATGTGTTCTTAAAGCGCACATACTATCATTACAGATGTAACAAACCTTGATCATAGGCTGCAAAAGCGGGAGAGCCAACAATACCATTAGATACCCAACTGAACCAAAAAAGTATAACTTATTAGACTACCACTATTGTCCTAACATCATTCTGGCACCCAAGCAACTGAAACAATAGAAAAAATTCATGATTCAGAGGGGAAAAATCACAGGCAAAACACAGAAAGCAGGATAATTTCAAAACAGTAAAGCTTATCAGTCCGCATATGTCAATGTCATGACAAGTTCACAAATCAAAGGATTGGACTTCAAAAAAAACAAATGCTCATGATGCAATAATAAATTTACCCAGCCTACTAAAAAAGTATACAACACTCTACGTCACACATAACAAATTACAATATTAAATCCAAACTAATCAGGAGACAGCATTACTCACCCCATTGATGAATCAAAGACTCCATGCTGAAGAAAAACAGCTTTACTTGCATCTCGCCTGTGAAGTCAGATTACAGGCATTAAACTATTAAACTGTACACAAAGCAATAACAAAAATACAGTCTCCTTATTGTCTATTCTTCCTAAACTGTTATTCAATTACGATTATTAAATATAAACTGAATAATAAAATGTGTTATATGAAGTCAGATTACAGGCATCAGACTGTACAAAAGCAATAAAAAAAATACAGTCTCCTTATTGTCTATTCTTCCTATATTGTAATCTATTATGGTTAAATATATTCTGAATAATAAAATGTGTTATAGGCATCACAGCCGTCCACCTCTACACATGATAGAGTCCTGGTGCCATATTAGTGCTACATTTATGTCAGTAATAAGCCACAATATTGAAAATAAATATGATTACCAGAAAAAAGAGCCATATCAAACATAATAGTTTCATTGAAATAAGTTCAGAGATCGAAAGATGTCAAATAGCCAATTAGTAACATGCATGACGGGGTGCATTTAATTTTAACTTCGGAAAGATCACAGTAGGTTCAAAAATCAAAGAGGGTGGAATATTAAATTTATAGAGGTCCATATAATTTCCCTAATAAATGTCTAAGTTTACCTAGGAATTCTTTCTAAAAGAAGAACATATCCATCCTTAGTGATCACATGAATAGCTTCAAACGGATACCTGAGAGGTAGAAGAATAAATCATTAATTAGACAAGCAAGACTCGAATAAAAGAAAGATATTAAATGTAAAAGTAGCTACACAATAGCCTTTTACCCTAGCTCCGTTATGACATCTTGACATGTCCGGGCGTCCGTGTTCAGAGGTTGCCGAAAACTGGTATTCCTCTCTCTAGGTGTCGGATCATTCTCTCCAAGTGTAGATGAGGAAACAGTGGCATCCCCAACAACTTGATCACTTACAATGCCTCTTTCATGAGATGAAAACAACCTGAATAATTTTCCTAAAGCTTCTGATGGGGAAAGAAGAAGATGCACTGCATTGTGCACAACATCAAAAACAGCTTCTATAAATATCTCCATAGCCATATGAAGATCCTGATCGAAAACCAACAAAAAGAAAGTTACATATGAGATCAGTGTACTAAAATATACAAATAAACGGTGAATAGAACACAACAAAAATCAATTGTTGCACAACCTCTACGACCCCACGTCTCCTATCAGTAGCACGATGGATCATGTGGTCCTTGAGGCTTTGCATTCTATTATAATGTGAATGTGAATTTGAAGGGTGTTGATTGGCAGATATAGCTGGTGGCTTTGACACTGCAGAATAAGCTAAGTGGAAAAGGCGAAATGGAATCCGCAGCAAAAACTGTATCGGAAGCAAAATCCAAAGAAGGATATAGCGGAAGCAATTGATGTGACGATGCCTACCATAATCAGAAAAACTAGATGTGGAGGTTCTGGAGTTTTGAGAAGAGGGAGAATCAGCATATTCATCGTAGGCATCAGTGTCTTCATCTGCAGATGAATAATCGAGGCTGGAAACATCGGAATCGAGAGAAAGCTGGTGAACAAAGTGGTTGAAAGAGGAAACGCCACTGAAAAGGGGGAAAGAATGTTAGAGAAGGGAAAGAAAGAAGGAAGTGGGAAGTGGAAGATGAAAGAGAAAGAAGAGATACTTTTCCATCCAACGTGGAAGGCGTGGAGCACGAAAAGTTGGCCTGAGCTCCCAACCGTGAATACCTTCAAGGATAGTAGCATTTCCAGGCAGCAGTGTCAAGAGAAGAGCGGAGACGCCATTGATGAATCTGACGAAGTTGTTCAAGGACTCGTAAGTTAACGTCTTCACCGACCTGCAACAAAATGAAAATCTCAGGATGCGTATAGATTCGGAAATTGAAGAAGAAAGGGAGGTTACTCTTTGGTAACGGCGAGAACATGGTCGACAAAACGTTGCATGCTGCCAAATGCCAAATGAAGGAAGTTTGATTCCATTCTTCGGATAGGAAACGAGGGAAAGTTACTTAGGAGGGTTAAGTCGGTGGGAAATGGGAATGCAGTCTACACGTGTGCTTCGTGTCAACATCTTCTGCATCCATTATGCATAACTTACACTTGCCTATACCCACGCCTTCTTTCTTTCCTTTGCTGTTAAAACTTATAACTCCGGATTAATAAAAATGCTACCCATACCTTACACTCTTTCTAACTTCGCTGAATTTTTTCGATAAATTACAAAAGATTCATTAAACAAAATATAAGTTTCGTGATTTTTAATAAATCACAATCAATATTAAAAAATTATTAAAAAGAAAATGTTAGAGACAGATCATTAATATTTCTCTACGGAATAAATATAACAATATATAAAAACAATATTTTTCTACTTTACCAAAAAAAAAACAATATTTTTCTATATACACACTTTTAAGAATTGTATATCCTTTTACCATAATTCAATTTTATTTTATTTTTTTAGAACAAAACAGGAATTAAAAACATATACACAATAAATGTACTATTCACTTCATGAAAATTAACTGTCAATTATTTTTTTAATAGAGATACAAGAATCTTTTTCTTTACTAATAAATATGATTAATTTTATTTATAATTGTTAAAATAAATGAAAAATATTATATAAAAGTGTTGATGCATATTAATAATGTCACAAGCTTATTAAAATGTCAAAAGATGATTAACTTTAAATTTTAATTTTCGTAATTTTAATCTTTTAATTTTATAATTTGTAATTTTATCTTTATCTGTTAATTGTTAAAATTGCTTTACAAAAGAAAAATAAAACCAGTTAAAATTTAAGCTGTAGTTCCAAACATACAGCTTATTTTATAAATAGTATTTCTCTCAAAATAAACAGTTAAAATGTGGGATTTAAGTTTTCACAAACGAGCACTTAGTTTTCCAAACAACCAATTTTTTTAGAAACAACTTTTTTTTTTCTTCTATAAAAAACAGCTGAAATGTGAGAAAATGATTTTTTCCTAACATCCACTGGGAGAGTTGTTTTATAAGTTGAGTTATGGTTATTTTCTCATGGGATGTTGATAACTATAAATCAGAAAAAATATAGAGAATTAAGATGAATTTTATTACTAAAACACAGGCCGAAGGAACACGCAGTGACCAATAATGCAATAATTCAATTTTTGTACTTCTTATGGTACATTACATTGAGAAATACTAACAGCAACTGGACCTCTCAAAAAAAAAAACAGCAACTGGAACTTCAACCTTAATCTAAATTACAACCTATTTCAACAAATTTGAGCTACGCTAAGTAAATCATTCAAACTAGTATAAGTAAACGAGGAAAACAAAAATCTGTTTCCAAACACAAACGCTGAGATGTTTTCTATGACTGTTGATTGTTAGGCTCTTCGATATCTACTATAGGAGATGCTGCTGCTGCTGCCACTGTGTCTGTAGGTTCATTGTTGCTAATTGAGAAAGAAAATTCAGAAACCAAGGCCAAATGGTCGCTCCCCACTTTCTATTGATCAAGGAAAAGACTGGTTAGATTGGGAAAATTTATGTTTAGACATTCGAATTCAAAGAAGAAGAAAAAATTGCACCGTAGACATCTAGTTGGACTAAATGATCCCAGAGAAGTGATAAGATCTATCACACAAAGCAGGAATACCTTGCATGGGAGGCCACCTGCCCTTACGAGATCACTTATTGGAACGGTATCAAGAACTCTTGTAGGTACAATACCGTCCGAGTACCTGCATCAAGTGCAGTCAATCTTATAGTTAGGTAATTGCAATCAGTAAGGCCACAACCATCATATTATTAACAACCAAAATATTTGGCAAAGCTTAGGAAAGGCATTGATTACCATAAGTAATCTACAGTGCCAAGAAACTTTGAGTGATAGGAAGTTGCCAAGGGTTCACCATTGAATCCCCGTGTACTAGTTGAACCCTGAAAAGCTTTTGTAATTTTACTGTTCTGTTGGCATGAGCCAGGTGGATTAAATAAGGAAAATCATTTATAGTAATAATACGTTGCAAAAGAATGATTATGTACATTAATTGTGGCATACGAACTATTCAGCTTCAATGGATGCACAGCCAAATAACGCTCAGAATCTCCGGTTGCTATTTTTACCTCTTCATCTGTCCAGCACTTAAACAATCTGGGAATAGTAGGTTGAGAGCATCATACATAAAACTGAATACACAAGCAATTTCAAGAAACATGCATTCTTTAATTAATAATCATAAGTAGCAATCAGCGGAATGTCATAAAACTGAATACACAAGCAATTGAATGTCATAAAATATCAAAATCTCCCAAGAGAAAAAGGTCTAGACTGTTATATTTTATAGCACACTAAATTTGCCATGAAAATGCATTTCTCATAAGCAACGGTGTTAAATCCATACTTATGAAAGGGCATTCACATATAAATAGTAGTAAATTAATCAAGTGTGGAAGAAAGAGCACGACAAGGTATTAGAACACTTCAGTAGAAATAATATATTCTCAAGGAAATAATAGAAATGATCAAAAATGGAAAAGAACGAAAACAGTCTTCTTCTAAACACGAATGTACAACCCAAAAAAAACGCAAGTACGGTGAAAGTGGTGAAAATGCAAAACTATCTCATCTCAAAATTGTAATCAAAAGTCAGGTCCTTACACTCATGTACCCTGTCAGCTTAAGTTTGTGATGGCTGATATCAAACAATAATTCTCTACTGTATAATCTACACATGCACACCTGCATCGTAGATTAGCTTATAGCATATATAATTATGCCTAGTTTAGATTAGCTTATAGCATATGGGAGCTTTTCGATTATAAAACACTAATATTAAGACTTATGGAGAAGTTAGGTGCGCAACTTCTGAAAAAGTTGAGGTGCTTGAGCAAGAAGTTTGATTCATTTTTCCTCCTTAATCCATTCTGTTTTCTTCCAAATTGGCTCCTAATCACTGAAAAAGGAATGGAGAAGTACCCATCTAGTGTGACGATTGGACCAACTGTTTCTTTATTCTCGCCTAAAACTTGGGCAGGACGACAGCGTTTCTGTCCAGATAATTCCTTTCTGTCATACAGCATGATATTAAGCTGCAATTGCAAACCACACCCAGTTTCAGTTGACCATCTTCAACATAAACTATTCGCTTTATATTCATAGCATGAACAATCATATTATCATGTCTAGTATAGAATGAAATTGCAAAACCAAGACAATGTGAATGATATATACTGATTTCAAAGTAATTCACCTTAGACGATGACAAGAACTTGTATATTCCACTCTGTTGATGAATGATAATAGGAATAAATCAATATGTCAAAAATGAAGAACACAGACTAAATGACAAACTTCAATCTGTTTTTTGGAATATGGCACCTGAGGAGTACTATTAAAATCACCAGCTAGCACAACAGGGGTATTACCCCATTTCTCTGAGAGGTACTGTGCTCTTGACGAGAGAAAACGAATCTGAAATATTAAATATTTTAATTTCAATGGATAGTACAGAAAATTCAAGGAAAGCACATCTGACTTGACTGTGAAAAAATAAGGTAAAAGGCTACTCAACTGTATTTCCTAGATAATAACATAAGCTCTTCATAGATTAGGGTTTAGTACTGATCTGCTAGTAGTTTACTACTAGATGAAAAATTGGTCAACTAAGACGAGAATTGACCATAACTCAAATGAAAAAAGGAAGGAATTATAGAAATATGACAAAATGCACTACCATGCAAACAGTATGTGAGCCATTAATGCTTGATAACAAATTTAATTATATCAAGAAACATCTCTCTTATTAAATATCGTTTCTTGAATATGTAATAGAATTTAACAAAGAAAACCAGCATAAATGTTAATTACTGAAGTTCTAGTGCATAAGGTCAAAAGCCCTTTCGATGAGCTAGTTATAATAGAGAAATAACAGTTAACGACAACGTAACTTTGACAGGCAGAGGGGGGAATAAAACACTTACTTGACCTATTTTAACTTCTCCCCTGCTTGGGTTGTAAAGTACGTGGATGTTACCAACTAACAATCTTCTTGAGTCAGATTCACACATCTGCCTGTACAGGATGAAGTTAAAAATGCAAAGGATAACTAATTGGATATACAATAGGACAATACTTGCAATAATGACACTAAGGCAATAAAGCATAGCTACTGCTCTTGTTCAAACTAATGTAAGATATCACATTGTAAATGCAAGGCATGGCGAAAGAGGCAGGAATTCAGTCAGCATCCCTGTACCACAGCACTCCATTTTGTAAAGACTAGTACGGATTGTTACTAATATTCCTCTTAATAAAATGTTATTGCAAAACGCAATAATTGTGCATCACAGTCATAAATGAACAATAGTCCAGACTCCAGACCCTAGACTCATACCCATCCCAGGTAATCATCTATTTGGATGTAAACCTAGTAACTAATGCCCTAATGGAACAAACAAGCTCCATTTGCATCTAATTGTTTGGTGAAAGTGAAGAATTTTCAATGTTGATTATGTTCCTTTGTATCTGATACGAGAAGCCCAAGAAATTCATTTAATTGAAAATAATAGAAAACAAGAACATAAGCTTATTTTCAAAATCAAAACACTAAAAAGGACCAACCATTGTCATATCATTAGACGAAGTGAGCCGACACAAAAGAACTGATACCTCAAAAACTGAAAGTTGAGCAACATTATCACGAAGGCCAATGTCCTTAAATTGAATGCTCTCTCCTTCTAGTAACCGGAACCTGACAAGCAGACAGAAAGAGTGAAAAGAGTGAATAGATTAGATCCATCAAATTTTATCTAACAAGCAAATTGGGCAATCAATAGATTACTTATCAGTTTTCCAAAACATTGCACAACCGTCAACTGTATCTCCAGTGCGTCTCTGCAGCTCCATTTACACAATTCATTAGGTTCTCAATAATCACACATCTATACGTGGTAGTGTAGTACTACTATGCACAGGATAATGAGAAATTTCACGGTAGTAAAGAGATATCAGCATGTTTAATGATTAATGGTGCAGATCAAATCAACTAATCTCTATTTTATTTTATTTTGAATGAACCAAAAGTTGATGTCAAAACTAAAGTATAAATCAGAAATCCAGAAAGGAAATGAAAGTACAGTAATATACCTTATAAGATCCTGCATATCCTGCTTTAACCATAATGTTTGAGAGTTCAAAATACTTGTCTACCTCCTGAGAATACCATTTCGAATATTTGTAGTTATTATTTGAGCTCAAATCTAACAAACATAATTAAAAAAAAAAAAAAAAAAAAGAGAGGCTAAAATACACTTTTCATCTCTCTCATCTTCTATTTTTTGGTTTCAACATAATTTCCCGAGTTTAAAAAGTTTTATTTTTTATCTCTTAAAATGTTTTTGTTAAACTAAATAGGCCCTTTTGCCAATTTTGGGGGCCAAAAGTGTTAATTTTGGTTAACATCACAAACCCATATGATGTGGAATTTTTCATGTTCCATCCCATGTCACCAAATTGACCAAGTGTAGAACAAGAACAGAACCGATTTAAAATAAAACTTTTTAAAAAGAAGGGCAAATTGAAACCAAAAGATAATTCGAGAGACCAACAGCGTATTTTAATGTGTGTAAAAGAAAGGTGAAACGTTACTTGTAAGCAGATAATATCAGGGTCCCATCCAAAGAGTTCATCGCAAATAACCCTCTTGCGACGGTCCCAGTTGATGTAACGAGAAGGAACGTTCACATACAAATCAGAGTGTTGAGAAGCATTTCTATCCCCCAGTATGTTGTATGACGCCACGCTGAATCTTTCTGGAACATGATAAAGCATTTGATTCCAGCCCCAAATGAGAAGAAAGAGAGAGGGAGAGAAGAAAATTACAAACCTGGAGACGCGAGCGTTTGATCAGAAGCTTGAACCCAATGGCGATTGATTTGGGGAGGGTGGTGGAGGTTTTTGCGGGTATAGGAATCTGAATGCCATTGAATTTGCGAAGCAATGGGAAGGCGTTTGGCGTGGGTGGATGAGAGTATGAGCCAGGACGAAGAAGAGCAACTGTTGCAGGCCATTACTCTCCCCTTTCTGTTGCTTCCTAACCGTTACTTTTAATCAACAGCCAAACGCCAAGTTTAGCGCCACAATTCGTTATCTCATCCCTTATGTCTTTGTCCTTTTTTCCCTCTACTCCTAACCGTCTCTTCATCCACAATGTGTTTGGTATCTATAATTACACGTTTTGTTTTTTTGTGACTGCAATTTTTTTAAATAAAATCTTTTTGAATTTTTTTTTATGTCGTTGTAGTTTTTCCATATATTCATTTTTTACATAGATCATTTAAAGGAACTACAAGGACAATGATAAGAAAAAAGTGTCCCAATTCCAAAAAAAAAAAAAAAAAGTGCCATATTTCTTGCAATTCTGCTCTCTCTTTTTGTCTTCTTTCACAACAAAGCATCTCCATTTCTTCAGCTCCATATCAACACCATCCGCGACGTGTCAATGAGAAGATATGTTGTGTTGCTCTTTTTGGTAGTGCAACAATACAAACCCATCTCTTCCTGTAATTCCTCTCTTACAAGTACCAGGAGCGTTTTCTGACTTTCCTTCCTCTGATTAGTAGGATAGTTTCACCTTTAGCTGCATTTGGTTTCACGACTTCAAGTTCCAAATCAAAATTTATTGCCCTCTCTTCTCATCCCTCATGGTCCAACTTTTTGAGAGACTCACTCTTAATTTCTTTTTTTATTTTTATTTTTATTCACACTCCTTGTTTTTTTCACTTTCTCACCGTTTTCTTCTTTCTTGTCAAACAAAAGACACACTCCATTGAAACAACTATATTATTTTATATTAAACTTTAGGATTTATCAAGAAGAAACTCAAAAATCACCATACGTAATTAAAATATCACAAGTTGAAAAAAAAAGAGTTCACTTTCGGAAATCGATTAATTTAGCACAACCACGAATCCAATCATTAATCAAGCATAACCGACTAAAATAAAAGTAAATTTGGATGAACACCTGTATACTAGTAAAACATACCTAGCTAGTATATGATTACTAATTGGTCGCAATGAAAAAGGCATGCTTGACACCAATGCCAATTCGCAATCATTCTTGATTTTAATGTTATTGTTCATTTGTTTCGGTTTTTGCTAGCATGCCATTATTTATTATGTATCAACCATTATTTATTGGAATTTGTGACTTAAAATTTAGTTGAAATTTTAGTTGAACTTCAATGCCTGACGAAAGAAGCCCACCAGATTGGTTGCCTGATATCAGAACGATTAATGCTTTAGATCTTGCATTGAATTTAGATGACACGTCAATGCTCAAACAGAATTCATGGTCACAATTTTCAAGTACCCATGGATTCTCTAGCAGACAGATCCCATGTCAAAAATCCTCGATATCAAGCCCCTAATGGATTAATCTCTGCAGGAAAATGTCGTAAACTCCCATGTGCACCACTTATTTGGAAGACTAAAGTTTTAGTTTCAGCATTAGGCTCCCATTTTCATTTCTCAATTCTATTTAATGCAGACATAAATCTACGCTTTTCCACGTTGTAACTTGTAACATCTACATTTTGCCTCAACCAAACTAAGATACAACGCTATTTATCTTTGTTGAAGTGCAAACCAACTAATGACTCGAACATTAACTGTATTGGCATATATTATAAGCATTCTAGGTTCAGTAGGTTGAACGCCAATAACTAGCTATCCAAACTTCACACGCATTTAACCAAGACTCCAGTGCCATTCACACTACATGGAAGGGGGATGCAGTGGGATGCAGAATACGAAAATGAGGATGTGCCAGTTTTAGTTTAAGTTTAATTATATTATATCAGCCTCGACAGCAGATAAACAGGCTGTCGATACAACCTAGACAATGTCACGTTAGTTATATCAGCCTAGTCAAGCACTGAAGAGAATGGCATAAATATTAAAAATTCATTGATGACATGGGCACCCTGAAACTGCCGGGATATCAACAATGGCGAGAAAAAAAAATGTATTTACGGCCATTAGAAAACTCAAGGGCACTTTCTTTGGATATAAGAAGCACCTTGCTCTTCGTACCTATCCATAACACAGTGAAATAGCTTTGCATTAGAAAATTATTCACTTGAGTCTTCAGAATTTTTAATTTGGTTTTTGTGAGGTGAATGAACTTGAATAAATGAGGTTTTTTTTGCAATCAATTAATACTTACTCAGACTTGGAGAACCACATCTGCTGGAAGGAGCCAAGAGAAGCCAATATACTCCCCCCTATCCAAACACTGCATATAGAGTAACCACCATTAAGAGGGTACTATCTGCTTGAGGTGTAAACAAGCTCTCGCATATAAATCATAATACATCAATTTAAGTTGCGTGTTTAGAATAAAACTTGGTTACAATTTTTTAGGTGTAATTGGTATCTGATTGAAGAACAACACCAATTACACCTAAGGAACTATAACTATGTTTTGTTCTAAAAATAACTTATGGAGAAAGGAGGGAGAACTTGATAAAATGTCGCAACAAGAAAAACTCGTCACAATATGATCACAGAGATGTGAACTCGAGTGAGAGACACAAACAGAGATGAACATCCCACCTGAACCTTCTTTCAGTTGCATTTCCACTAGCAAATACCTTTACTCTAGCAGCTTGAGGGGACTCCTACAAACAGAAATCATATCTCAAACAATTTCTTTTTTATATATGAACACAATTGCCTACAACCCAAAAACTTCATTCAAGCATATCTGACATGTAAAAACATATCACCTCATACTGATCCGTGAGGATACCTGATAAATTCATTACTAATTACTGATTCTCAACTATGTTTTTCATGTTTTCCACAAAATTAAGTCAGTGGATTGTGTCTTTCTGTATATACTAGTGATGTCATGTGGCAAAGGAAAATTAATTAGAATTTAGACTAGAAAGGAGTACAAAATATTGGATTAAGATATTTAAAAGGAAAATAACCCAAAAAATATGCTATCCAGAAAATTGGCTTTCAGTGAATAAAATATATGCTTCTCTGTAAATTTCAATTCTCTGTAAATTTCACCTCTAGCAAGTCTTTCTCGATGCGTTCCTTCAATTGTTGCATTGATGCTGTACCACCAGTAAGCTGAGATAAACAGAACCAGTTTCAAAAAACTGAGAGGATGGGTAAGGCAGAGGGAGGGCATTAAATCAATATAGAAGTTACCAGTATGGTACTGAATAGTTCTCTACGAATGTCTACATCACACTTATTAATGCTCTCTATAATCTGCGCATATCCAAAAGAAACAGCAAAATAATGAGCAATGAGAAGAAAATTTAAAGTTGAGTATATCCTGAAAGAAAGCGTTTAAATTTACAAAAAGAAAAAATTACCATTTTTGGAAGACCACGAATTGAAGGAGCAATTTCTGCAAAACTCTCCATGCCAGGTATTGTCTGTGATTTACATCGAAACAGTAAAATTAGTGAGGAACAGAACACACTGGAACTGAACTGAACAGTATAAACACAGAATGTCATGAAAAAATCACGTGTTACAAATATTTTGAACAGTCACAAGTTCCAGGAGTTTCAAAATTTAGAGGCTACAAATAAGAAAACTTCAAACCTTTTTTATCCATTCACAAGCTTCAAATGTTTCAAACTCGAAACATTATTTTCATCAATCAATTACAATTTCCTAATACCCTGGATTATCCCAAATTAAGGGCAGTAAAATATTTATATATAAGATCCAATTACCTAATTCATCAAGATTAAGAAAATTAGTTAATTTAATTGATAACAAAAAATTTGTTATATTTATATATATTTTTTCAAAACTATTCTTGTATTACTTTTCTTTTTTAATTAATACTCATATATCTTTTAATCAATTTGAGTGCATGTCCTACACTATTACCAAATTAAGATAACACATTTTAATTAGAGGTATTTTAGTCTACAAATAATTAGTACATAAGACAATATAAATTGGTTCTTAGATAAAGGAACAAATAATTGTTCGAAGTTAGATCTTATAAATAGGAACGGGGTAGTAATTAATTAAACAAAGCTCATAGCATACTCACAATAAATATTGAGATAAAGAATAATATAATATCACCTGTAATATTCAACAACCTTGACCTATAATTCGTACCAATATAATATTTATCCTTTAATAAAACATTTAAAACTTTGGGAACAAATAAATTGATTGCAAGTGAGGAGACAAAAAAGGATCTTAGCTACTATATATCTATTCTATGGGCATTCAGTATTATTTAATGTTAAAAATAGCAGGGAAGGAGATAAAGAAAAGTTGGGGGGTAGACACTTCCTGTTTGATTTGATAGAAATCGGAATAATTGCTCATTAAAAGATACACAGAATTGCTTTGGAAAAAGCACAGAGGATCATTTTGAATTGTATGGCAGTTTATTTTAAGTATTATAATTCCTTTTTAAGGGCTACTATAGCATTTTCCAATGTTTAATCATACAGATCTATGTTCCCCTCTCCTTTTAGACTTCAGGTGGTATTTCTATAATTCTATTCATGCCTCCTGTATACCAAGTTTGCACTTCTGACATTTGCGTAAATAAAATGTAAATGATATCAGAATTTATCCTCCTAACACAAATTTATTACACACAAACATGAAGAAAAAAAAATGTCATACCGACAATTTTTCAATTTTCAACCTAATTCAATCTGACAACACATGATTCTTCCAACTAATCTTTTTTCTTTTATTCCCCAAAGCCTAGCATAAAATCAAACATTGACAAATTTATAAAAAGAGTATTAATGGAAAATTCTTTATAACAGATTAACCAACTAAAGTAAAAATCCAAGCATGCAATCCACACACCTGAACCAGTGATGGATTAAAAAGAATATCAGGAATCTTGAATCTGTCAGATCCAACTTCAATAATCCTGTGACATCCATGATATAAAAGTTAAATGATTATCGCAAGTAAACCAGATAAGCAATTATGCTTTAAATCAACCAAAGACATGTAGGTAGACAAAAGATAACAGACTAGAATGAAAGAAGACCATTCAAACAATTAAAGTATACAAGTCGAGTAAAGTTGGACTCACTGGCCATCAGGAAGCTCGTATGGAGTCATGGGAATGTTAGAATATGCACTCTCTGCCATGGAAAAGGAATAATAATGGATATAATGTCATATATAGAATCCAATAATAACAAAATCCAAGGAAACCAGGAAGGTAAAAGTGAGTCCTATTAACAAGTAAATGCTAAGTGCCGCCTATACTTAAAGAGCAGTTAATACACATAGCAAGTGCTTCTAGTTACCTATAAAATAAAATATTAAATTATTGTGCTTTAAATATAATAAATGCTCTCTTTTCCAATAAATATTTTCTACTTTTGCTTCCCACATTAGTCATTTCATCAAAACATTGAAAAATCATGAGCACATGAGCTAATCAATATGAAATATAAAGTAGAGAGCAAGTGCCACAAATTATGTCAAAGGAAACGTGACAGATCAAGTCAATGTATGTATAGCTTGTGAGGGAACTGCCAAAGCTGTTTAAACCCTATAGTTGCAAGCAATCACATCAGTACACTATACAATAATTACCATAACGTATTATAAAAGGAAAATGATCAGAATCAGAATCTAATTAAACTCGTATAATTAACAAAGAAAAATTCACTTGTTATGAAATAATATGATAATAGAGCTACAGTTAATATCAGTCATTGAAGAATGGAATAACATGTTATTTTCAAGCAAAAGTTCATCATCAAAGAGGCAAATGCACAACATAAATAAAAAAGGCGTGTATCTGTATATAACCTGTAAAGAATACAACGAACTAGACCAACATGACTCAAAACATTGTATAAAACAACAACAACTGGGACACACCATCATATGGAGAATCTGGTGTTCGGCAAACACATTCCTTGATGTCACTAGCAATCACCCTCTGTCACAATAAACAGTCAGCATTGAAAGGAGATATGACATAAGAAAAGAAAATTTTGGCAAAATACAGACCTGGGAGTAGAGTTTGTAGCTTTCTGTTGTATGTGGAAAATCAAGGTCTACAGTCTGGAATTCAGAAAAAAACAGGCAACAAAAATCACACTTCATTTGTATGTTTAACTGAAGTAATTATTTAAATCACGCTACATATAATAACATTAAAATTAATAACATTTGTGATTCCATAGAATTTGATATGAAACAAGCAAACAGGATGTACATCATCCCAGCAATGTACCACAACCAATAGTGCCATTCTTATCAAAGTCAATCTTGAAAAACTAATTGATCAATAAAGCTCGAGAGGATTAGAGGAATCATCAGCCAGGCCTGAATAGATGAGAAAAATGAAGTCCTTATTCCAAGTCATGATAGTTCTACCACAGAGCTGAAGCCCTAGAGGCAACAATGGAATATAACATTACAAGGTTGATAAAAGACATTCCTAACTTCGAAAACTAAGGGAATAACCATTAAGGATTGAGCAAAATAAGAAGACACAAGACATACTGCTGACAAGTAGTTGCAAATTATAAGATACCTGAAGACTTCCAAGCCGTATTTCCTTCTTCTTGAATGAATACCGAGGTCTTATCTTCAATAACAAAACAAAATAAAGCAGATATAAATATAGCTACTTTATTTAAGATGGCCATTAAAACAATAAAAGTAACTAATGTTTGTCACTCACTGTGATACCTTTGCCTTCCAAACTTTTCATCAAGCAATCTGTCAGAAATTCTCCTCCAATAGGAGAAGTTATCACAGCCTATTGTAGACATAAATAAAGACATAAGCAGACACCAGAAACTTGAATAAACCTTAAAGACAAAATACAAGGCTACAAATACTATATAATAAAATTCCTTCTATATTATACATCAAGGAAAGAGGATGAAAGACATCAACCACAGGCAGATAAAGAAACATTAATATTGATATCGAGTCATCAATGAAACTAAATGGAACTTGTATACCAATGTTTCAAACTCACCAATATGGAACTTGCATTAGTGCGTTCCACAAATTTTAAAGTTACTCTTCATTTCACAATGTACTTATGTTATATTTTTGTAAACATTGATTGAATTAGGTCAATCGTCATAACCCCTCATGTACTACCACAATTAGGAGGGCCTCCTAACAATTATCCCCAAAGAAGACAATTATTAGGAGGGACATCTTAGCCACAACAGTGCCTAAAGAAATGATTAGAGATACCTTGTTAAAGACAAAAAATGGCCAATCATCAACGACCAGATATTTTTTGACAATGTTGCAATAATGTCTCTTCATAGACACTTGAATAGCGAAAACTTAACAATTTTATTATATAAAATAAATAATTTCAATCGTGATTATACAATTAGAAAATTTCCCAGGTATTGTCAAAAATTTTAAAACATTACTTTTACCATATCCTTTCTTAGTCAGCAAAAAATATCAGATAATTTATCACATCATATTAAAAAACTTTAAGGAGTATATTGAATTATCAATGACTTACTTGAACCCCCAACCCACTAGTGATAATTTTTAATGAAGAAACATGTTTTTGGAACAATAGTGCATACACAAGAAAGCTTAAGTAATAAAATTAGGTCTTGGAATCATAAACAAAAAACCAAATACAATAAATATGCATAAAAAACGAATGAGTCGTCTAACATTATTTCTATTAGAATAGATAGCAAGCAATACCTTTTGAAGAACATAACCATCAAGTACCGGTACAACTGTAGTTGATCCACCACCACTGAGTTTAGAAATAATGAACAAAACTACTTATCAGAAATCTAGTATTGTAATGTGGCATACATATTAACTACAACTAATAAACAAAATGTTAGCAAGTAAAGTGACAACATCAAAAATTTAGTTGCAGGCTGGAAAGAAAAGGAAGACAAATGTATTGCACTGTCTTCCGAACCATATTCATAAGTAGGCAATAGCAATTGTATTACTCATCAAAATCACCACAGAACCAAACTGTAAGTCAACAACTTCAAAATCTTGTACCTATCAACAACTAATGAGGTGGCACGCCCTGATGCAAAAGATGTGAGAACCTGGTGTCATGAAATACTTCTTCATTAGTTAGTTCACATATTCATGGTTTCATGCCAACAATATATTATTTATCACAAATTTTTTTGTTGCAACTTGCAAGTAATACATGGACAGAGCAGTACAGAACATACGACTTACAGCATTCTTGGCCAAAAACAATGCTGGTACTTTATATTTTTCAAACATAAGTTCTGCTGCCCTGATACATAGACAGGAAAAATAATGAAAAATATGAAATTTAAAAATTGAAGAGTTGAAGCAAATTTTATTACTAATCACAAAATCATGTAACAGTGTATAAGCCAAAATCCAAAAAGCCAAATGAGAAGGGGGGAGAGATATTGTTGTCAGACTACCTCTCTCTCTGTTCTTGAGTGTTGGAACATGGTTCAGCAAGTAGCATTGGACGCTCTTTAGGATCAACTAGTAGGCATTCCCTGAATAATTTTTGGTAAACATAAAGTGAGATTTGAGTAAAAGTATGTCCTAGCATAAACAACAGGATATACCAACCACATGAGTAGTCTTTATACAAAAGTTGACTAAATTTTGGGACCACTGCATATAAAAAGAACCATCATGGGCTTCCTAAGAAATAATAACCTTAGTAATTGACAACTGCATATGCTATAGCAAGAAAATGATGATCCTGTTTACCACCCAAAAGAAGTATAAAAGAAAATGATGATCCTACATTCTAGATTATAGACAGATTTGGTAATCAGCAACAACCTCAAAGCATGATCCCATATGTTGTCTACAATATTCCAGTCAACAACAACCCCATTCTTCAATGGTGACAGCACCTGTTAAGCATAACAGAAATAAATTATTAAAACAAAATTTAAAAAAAAAAATGAAATGATTAATTAAAGTTTAACCTAGCAGATATTTCAAATACCTCCATATAGTCTCTGCGGTATCCTAGTGACTGAGATCCTACATAAAGTTTGCATTTTCCCTTAGTTTTGTCAGAATCATTATTTTTGGCATTGTTTTGTAAATCCCCAGAGGCTCCCGAGTTCTCGTCAGCATCACCAGTTCCATCAATGTCCATTTGATCAATTGCACCAACAACCTAAATAAAAACATGCAAAATAATATCAAAGCTATAAATAACCACGGCATAACTAATGTTAGATTTGCCTCCTCTAAAGTAAGTAATATCAATCATTAATAGTTGATATTTCAGCACATGATTACTAAGCATATGCATGTAATATTGATCATTTTATCCGCAATGACTGAGACTACTTTACTATCTAAAGTGATTCGCACATTTTAAAGGAGTCAGACCCGTTAATGTTAGTGACCAGTATAGAAATATAGACGAGTAAATAAAACATACAATTTCATCCTCAAAGATAACAATTCGTGTTGATTCGGTCCTGAAAGCTTGCACATATAAATTTAGTCCCTAGATATGTCCACTAGATGAAATCAAAACCCTCGCCATGGCGTGTAACGCCCGAGATACCTTCAACAGCACCAACAATGCCAAATAGAAATAAACGAAATGCACTTAGAAACTAAAAAACATGCAATGTGTGCAACGATTTATAAAATTTGAGGTACGCGAATCGTTGCAGGACCTAAAACAGACGCACATTTGGATTTGGCGAAGAAAATAACAGCAGAAGGTTTACGTGGCAAGTAGATCACAGTGGCGGAGGCACTTACGGAGGGAAAAACGGCCTTGGGAGCATCTTCGCCGGCGTAACCGGCTTTGCATGTGTGCGAGCCGAGGTCTATGACTATTGCCGATACTTCGTCTGTGAATTAAATTAAATTACGAAGAAAAGTGAAATTGAAAAGGAGACGAAAATCAGAGATTACAAAAGCTGAGAAGGGAGAAAAGAGAGGGGACAGTGAACACTCACCACCGCCATACATGGCTGGGGTTTGGGGAAGAGAATGTAGGTTCGGTGAGAAACAGTTTGGATTCCGAGGTTGAGAGTGCAATGAGCGAGAAGAGAAGAAAGGAGTGTAGACTGTAGAGAGAAGAAGGGCTTTTTCGAGTTTTTGTTGATGGCGGGTTTTGGGATCTCCTCAATCCATATCACATTTTGGGTTGGGCCCTTCAGATCTGTTGGAAACAATCATGGCCCGTGTGCTGCTTGTGTATTTTTTTGTTTTACATCTTCTATTTTTTCAATATGTATTTATTACATTTAAGTTACTTCAATGTCAAAAAACTAATAAGATTTAAATATTTAATGTATTGAATGTAAAATCTTTTATTTTTTAAATAAGTGTACTTTCTTAACTTCCTCCAACTAAAAAATAAGTGTTCGTATATGTATGTGTTTAAACAAAAGATATAAATAAATTTGACTCAATTGATCCTTTACATACCATAGTTGCAAATTATTGGATTTCATTTGATGGAGTTCATCTTCTGAATCATAGAGTCGGTCATTCTGTGCAGAAATCTAACATAAGCATGTTTGCATCTCTTGTTGAAAAAAATGGGGCCCAAAACACCCCAGAATCCCACAAAAAATACAATTCCCAAGCCCATGTAGAACTAATAATATACTTCAAATTTATCATGATCATCACTATCATCATTTTCTCTCGCAGGTTTTATATCATGGTATTTTTCATCTCGAGGGCATATCTTTGTAAGTGGAGGTCCACAGAGGTCAAGATTATCGATATACCTAAGGTTTGTAGAACCAAGTTGGGTCCCTGATGGGATTTTTCCCATAAAATTGTTGAATGATAGGTTTAAGACCTCAAGATAATGTAAGGCAGACATGGACTGAGGAATTTCTCCTGATAAATGATTTTTTTTAGAGATCAATGGACTCCAATTGTTCCAAGTTGCCAATCTTTTCTGATATTATTCCTGTCAAATTATTATGGGACAAATTCAAGGATTGTAATCCAATGAGCATATATATCTTTAAAGGCACACTTCCATACAAGTTGTTGCTCCAAATATAAGTAAATTTTTAATTAAATCTCAATAATTTTTTAAATCTCAATAATTTTTTTTATTCTTGATATCAAATTTCAATGGAAGTAGTATAGAAAAAATATTTTAATTGAAATTAGTAAAATTAGATGTTAACTAACTTTTTAATTAGCGCATACATTAATTAATTTTGTTTATATTTAAACCTAGTCGAAATATACTTTAATTTCAGAGTCGTGTTTATGATCATCTACCCAGAAAAAGAAGAAGACGACGAAGTCATCTTTATGCATAACAAAGCAAATTTGTTGAGAAAAGTATAAATCGGAGAAACTTGTGGTGGCAAAAGTGCTAATTTTTCCTTGATAGTGTTGATGAAAGTGATGGATAACCATTTGATACTGATTTTAGACATCGTTAGTAATGTTAGAATTTGAGAATGGGTCCTTGTCTAAGAGTGAGGGAGAGTAATTGCTGGTAACCGTAGCTTAATTATCACTTCATTTTTTTTATCTAGTTATACCAAACAGGGTCCAAAAGACAGATGACACATAATAACTCATACTTGAATATGTCAAATAAACCCATGGCTTTGGTAACTATAGAAAGCGATGAAAAACTCCTGCCTTAATTATCATTTCATTTTTTCATCTAGTAGCTTAATTATCACTTCAGAGTTGTTGTTTGACCCATAGCTTATTTATCTCTTAATTTTTTCACCTAGTTATATCAAATATGGAGTTTAATATCGATATTATATAAGTACATTTAATGCAAATCTTATTAATATATATTTATGTGATAAAATTCTATTTTTTATTGAAAAATAATATCAATTACATCTAAAAATTTGTACCTAAATTTTATCTTTTATTAAATCCTCTTTAATTTATATACATTATTTATCATCAATATTTTAAAGCAAAGGAAGTGCATCTTTTAATTTCAAAGCTAATTGAAGTGGTCAAAAGCAATATTTTTCCCTCAAAAGACTATTTCAATTAATAAGACAAATTGACTATCAAATATTGAGAATAACGTTATGTATTTTAATGCACTCTAGAGATAGGAGATTGAAATAGTATAAGCATAATCTTAAATTTAAATTATATTGTTGTCATTGCAATTTCTTTGAATAAAAAAACATTTCTTTTAGATTCAAATATATATATATATATATATATATATAATCTTATGAATATTAAACTCAAATATAAATAAATTTTAATCAACTTTAATCTATTTAATTAGTATTCTTCTTTCAATAATTTTTTTTTAATATCAAATTTTAAGAAAGATGATATAGAAAATAATTAATATTACATTTAAAGTGAGAATGTCATTTATTTTATTTTATTTTATTTTTAAATATTAAAACTGCATTGATAGTATGAGAAGAATATTAGGGTGTGTTTAATTTTAGAAAATATTTTCTATTTTTTTATTTTTAGAAAATAATTTTTATTTTCTAATTTTAAAATTTAGAATACATGTTTGATTTAACTATTTTCAATAAAAGTTCATAAAATATTTTTAGTATAAAATTTACAATCAAAATTACTCTTTTATATATGAATTAGAATAATATTTTATTTTGTAAATATTTTACTCTTTTCACTCTATCTTATATTTATTCTCATTTGAATACTCTCATTTCATAATACATGGATTTCACTATGAAAATGTGTAAATGTCTCATATCTATTTTTTTTTTGGTATCAAATGAACAATTTATGAAAATGTGCAAATGTTTCTTATAGTAACCAAAATTTAATCACGCTAAATATTAATCATATTTAATAAGTAATATTTAATTAAAATAATTAAATAATATAAACAACATATGTAATTAAAAATTTATAGAATAATTATATCTAATAATTCTTATAATATTAATATATAATACAAATACAAACACCAAACAAAACTTTTATGAACACAAAAAAAATAAAATATAAGACAAATTGATTGAATTACATGTACATAAAAATTTTAAATCTATTGAATTATGTGTATAAAAACAAGTTGGTAAAAAAATTTAATAATTACCATCACATACCACTACATTTTCAAAAGTGTAGAAAATAATATAAATGACATTTTTTCATTATCAATTTTGGCCTTCCTTTGAAAATATTTTCTAAAATTAAAAGTTATTTCTTATTTTTTTTAAAAATAAAAATAAAAAACGGTGAAACTAAACAGATCTTTAATTACCTCTAAATTAGCACATATCCGGATAGGAATATCTTTTAATTTCAAAGTCGTCTTTATGCATAATAAAGCAAATTTGTTGAAAAAGTATAAATCGGATAAACTTGTGGCGACAAGAGAACTCATTTTTCCTTGATAGCATTGTTGATGAAAGTGATGAAAATCCATTTGGTACCGATTATAAACATCGTTAGTAATGAGTGGGTCCTAATCCAAGAGTGAGGGAGAGGTTTACAACTCCTGCATGACTATTTGTCAAATAAACCCAAGGATTTTGTTACTAAAGAAAGCGATATATAACTTTTTTAAAATTAAATATTAGCACACGACTTTTAACCTGCTCCAACTTTTTAATTATCACTTAATTTTTCAGCTAGTTATATCAAACATTCTACAAAAAATTAGACAAACTAATTCTTACATATGGTTATTTGTCAAATAAACCCATGGGCTTTTATTACTCAAGTAAGCAATATATAGTTTCTTTAAATTAAGGACAAAACTTAAATATCATACTGCACTGTTGGTGTTACTCTCCAACCTATAGTATTGTACTGTACCTAAGTTGGTGTGATACTTAAAAATATCTGATCACCTATTTAGTGAATCTAACATAAATTTCACCTAATAATAGTCTCACCTATAGCAATTTTCATAGAAAGATAGGGAGGTACATTATACACAATAGCTTTGGTTAAAAAATACAGCTCGTATGAGCAAACAGCCAAAGAGTATAATTTAAATATATAGAAGTGTACAATAAGCCTTAAAGAGACAAAGAATGAGCAAAGGAAATGTGACGGGCAGATCATGACATCAAGCCACAGCAACTCTTGTATGAATACAGAACTTAAAAGACAAAACCAACACAAAAACTCGGGAGAGAAGCAAAGTAGTACACAATGCTAAAGAATTAAAGATCATAGTTAAGAGGGTAACCATTATAATAGGTAGCTACGTCTACAATTAATTAATAATTCCACAACATCATATTTTATATAATTCAAGGTGCTGGAAGTGCTCAAAATTGTTCAAACACAACAGCATGTAAACTCACAAGTACCTGAAGATTCCAAGCATCAGGTTCGAACTTTGTGCTGAAAGTTGAAACTGCTTTCTGAAAGAATGGATGAATACTTGGTTAAACATAGCTAGCTCTATCGAATTAAAAACAGAGCCCGGAACGAATTTACTCTTTTTAAGTTGTATCTCCTTGCTTGTTTCTTTGTACTTTCCAAAAGGATATTCTAAGTCAGCAATTCCTCAACCTGTTTGCTCTATCTTTTTGGCACTATTGACAAAATTTGCACTTTTATCAAATCCATCAAACAAAAGAATCCGCACAGCTTCTAATCCATCTTGCAATGTAAAATTCAACTGAAAGATATTTTTATCAACAATTAGAACTTCCACGTGCCGAAGGCCATTTTCAGTTCAAACGTCAGAAAAAATCAAATGCATACCTCTTCCCTTTCCTGTTTAGTGAATGTGCGAAGAACAAATGCTACAGGATCCAATTTCCCGGGAGGTCGTCCAATGCCTAAACAGCAATAAAAGCACAAATAGTATTATAAATAATTGAAATATAAATTGATATTTTTAATACTGGAAATGATATGAACGTACCAATTCTTAAACGGGGAAAACAAACATTCCCTTTAAAGTGATTAATAACACTCTTCATTCTGCCAAATAGCAAGGAAAACAAAAACAATGACACTTCATTTCTCTTCTACTTTGAAAGAAACAAGGTGAATGAATATAATATCAAACAATTAGGCTTCTGGCATGCCTCCCCAAAAGAAAATCACAATAAGAACCATTAAAATTAAACTTGAGCTGCCTTCCAATTATACTTGCATCAGTTTCATGGTATAAAACTATACAAAGCAAATATAAATAGAAAGGTTATGTTAACAGAGGAAGCCAATCAAAGATTCCTTCAACTTAAAAAACAAGGAAGCCAATTTCAAATATGGAGTTGCTTAGTTTATCCCTATAGTCATTCTAGTTCTCTGTGCGCTTGCTGTGCATATTGTCTTGGTTGTGCAGCAAAGCCACTCAAACACCCTTTGCCCCAAGAGAAAGGGAGGAGGAGTTTATGACGATAATATGTCAACTAGCATAAAATGATTATGTAGAAGCATTCTGCAAGTTGAGCATTTCCATGACCCAAATTGTGGGTGTAACTAAAGGAAGACAAATGTGGCATTTCAACTTTAAGAAAGATGAAGAAAATGGGCCTTGATATTCATAACAACAATGGACATGTTGATTTATAAACTCAATGAGGTGCCAAACCAGGCGTACACATGAAATTTCATAGCAAAAAGAGAGTGCAAGCAAAGGAAATTATAATTACCCATTGTGACCTCCATGCCCCCCCTTTGGTAGAAGCCGCAATTTTGCAAAAGGCAAATCCATGTCGTCAAAGATCTGAAAAAGAAAATTATTAATTGCATACTCAAGTAGATCATCCTTTGGCTTTTCTTTCATCACTTGCAAATGAAAAAGAACAAAGTAGTCATAGCATAGATATTATACCACAAGGACTTGTTTCAGTGGAATCTTGTAATATGAAACTATGGCCCCAACCTTCAAAATAGATTTAAAAATCAGCCAATCAACATCAAAAATAAAGTATTTATTACAGCAGATTCTGAGGAAGTGCAGATACAACATGGAATATGGATATGTTATGAGAAGGACATGGACATGGCAATTTTTATAAATAAAAAAAAATCACAGGATACAACATGACTATCATACAACATATAAAATTAGTATAAAATTAACGTAAAGACATGAATCTTTAAATCAAAAGAAAAAATTGACATCATAAGAGTGAGCATGAATTCACTGTAGATATAACAAATGTACATATAACATTTGAAGACCCTCCAGATAACAGACTTACAGATTCACCACTTGAATTCATAAAAGTCTGTGGTTTTGCAAGTATAACTGGTACGTCACTGATAAAACCTGCAATTGGTAAACAAGTCACAAATGCTTATATACTTACAAATACTTAATTTAATCTTTGCTTTTATCACCAACATTCTGAAATCTAAACCAAAATTACGCAGAATCGATGGCTGTCTGCAAAATTTAATCATTTATTAAAGCCATAACATGACCAGTGCATTGTTTAGAACATTGATGGATTCAGGTTTGACATGAAAATCCTAATTCTATCTTTACAACAAGTCAACAATAACAACAAAAGCCTTATCCTACTAGATGTGGTCTGCTATCTAGATAGATCATACAATGCCAAGACTCGGTTAAAAATCAATTTTTTTTTGGGATATTATCCACATGAGATCCCTTTCAACAATTTCATTCTTCCAATGTTCTTCTTGGTCTCCCTCAACCCCTTTGCGCAACAAAAATGATATTTCTGACTTAGTTTGAGAAAAATACGATCTTAGTAATTTGTCACTTTCTATACCGAGATAAAACTCAAAAGATTTAATACCCAGAAGTTGCGGTAGGAGCAGAAAGGAAAGTTACTTTTTGAACAAAGGGTTGTTGCAACTGCACTCAAATAGATCAAACTTCAATAAAATGGTAACTATGTGACATCACTCAAACTAAACGAACCGAAAAACCAAATTAATTAGAGAAGAGAAACATAAGAGGCAGGGTTTTGGTCTTGTCTAACCTAACCTTTTCCAAATAAGGCTTTGAAGGATACAGAACTCATAGATATCCCTTCAGCTTCAGCTATGGTGTCAACCATCTCAAATCCCACCTGAAACATTAAAAGCCCCAAAATAGGGTCAGATAGATAACCTATCATGACAGAGCTTCGTTCTGCTATTAAATTTAAATAACCCCAATCCCAACTGAAGCAAAAAATTTGCCTGTCTCTTTCTATCTGTTTGAATTTAGGTACCGAGGAAGTTGCTGGACATTATAATTTGAGTGCCAACGTAACCAAATGTTATGAAAATTTGATGTTTATGTGTATGTTTTATAACTATTCAAAATGATGATAATAATGGAAAGATGGCAAGGTATGAATATGATTACTAACTAACATTGTGGCGGGTGGCAGAGAACTTTTTGCCAGGATTTCCGAGTCCAACAATTAACCAAGGTAAAGTTTCCTTCTTCTCTTTGGATTCCGTTGAAGTTGATATGGAAACTGAAGAGGAAGAAGAATTTTGAATGGACATAATGCGAGACGGAGAAGAAGAAGAGAGAGACATATAGGGTCTTGAGGATGAGAAGCGCCACACAGGGAAGAGGAATTTCATTGATGCCACCGGAAAACAACAACCAATCTTCATTTCTTCAAAGATGAAATCAACAAACAAACATAAACCCTAAAATGAAGAATCCAGGAAGGTGAGGTTGAGGAAGAATCGAGGAAACTAGATAATACGCAAAAAAAATAAATAAATAAATAAATAAAAAATACTTATACGCCGTTGCCGGGGATCGAACCCGGGTCACCCGCGTGACAGGCGGGAATACTTACCACTATACTACAACGACCTGATGGTGGCTATCGTACTCGATAAAAAATTAATAACCTATTACAATTTTAATTAAGCTAAAAATAAAAACATACTAATTTATTTTAGTTTTATAAAATTAATTTCAATTTTTTTAAATGATTTAAATACATAATATAACTAATCTCAACAAGTAAAATTTATATTAAATTATATATTTTGATAATAAAAAAATAATAGTTATAAGTGATAATGATATAACTATATAAACACTACATTTTTCAAACAAAATTGATAATATTATGACTTTTGTTTTAATTATATGTTATTTTTATTTTCTTAATAGGTTAGTTGTGGGGAATGTGAATCTTACATCCTCTCGTATCTTCAAACATTATAATTTCATCACAAGAACACATTACTATTGTTATAATAATAATTTTCTATTTTATTTTTCTTTCAATACCTCTCAATCTCACCAAAGCTAATTTTATCCTTAACTCTTTACTAATAATGATAATATCAAATAGCTAATATTCATTGATCTTATTTTTATCTAGAAATATTTATTTTTGTTTAACACATATTCTATAAAAAAATAAAAAAATAAAAAAAAATAAAAAGTTACCTGATAGAAAGAATATGATTTGCATTGGAGATGATGGCCATATAATCAAATTCTATTAGTAATATAAACATAAAAATAAAACATAATTTTGTATAAAAATATATATAAAAAAAGGTTATCTTAATAAAACATAAAAACTAACTTTTATCCACGAAAATTGAATCTAGTATAAAAGTGTTGAATCAAGATTTGAATCCATATTAAGAAAGAAGATATTCACATTTAGTAATTGACCTTGTTTTGAATAAGATACCTTTAAAAAAGTTTAAAAAAAAATATTTTTTTATCATTAAAAAGCTAACCTTTTAAAAAGGAAAGATTATAAATAATAAAAAAAATATATATAATATTATCAAATATATTACACATTTCACTATCACTTATAATTATTTTTTATCATAATATATATTTTGAATACAAAATTTAATGCTGACATCAAGTAGATCATGTATTTAAATCCTTTTTAATAATTTAAAATTAATTTGATTAAGCTTTAGAACAAATTAGTATGGTTCAAGCTTCATCGTAATTTAAAAGTAAATTTCAATAATTTTGTTTAGTAATGCTTTCAACTTGTCGTTGTAGTATAGTGGTAAGTATTCCCGCCTGTCACGCGGGTGACCCGGGTTCGATCCCCGGCAACGGCGATTTTGATACTTCAATGTTTTCGCATCAAATTATCTATTTACCACTGTCCACAATTTCTGACACTACTCAGCCTCTCTTCCTGCATTGCTGAATTATTCATGAAACCTCTGACACTCAAGTAACGATGGCAACGCGGGTTGGGTACGGGTATGCTGTAAAAAATTATTATTATTATTATTTATAAATTAAAAAAAATTAAAATATTTTTTATTATATTATAATTATAATTAAATTGTTTCTCTATTTCATATTTTAATCAAAAAATTTCTTAATAATTAAATAACTATAAATATTTTACATTATAATAAATAATTACACTTAATAAAATATTAAATTTTTTTAACATAATTCAATCGGAGACGGGTACAGGTACGGATATATATATACATACTTGCACCCGTACCCGATTTAATATATCGGGTTTTTCATCAGATATTCTCCATTAAAATTGAGATGAATTTGACTATTATTCACGAGTACGGATTTATTTGCTATCCCCACACTCAAGTTCTAATGTTTAGGAAATTCTTTAGTTACAATGCATTTCATACATAAATTCAAACTCAGAAAAAAAAATCAAACAAAATTTTGCTAACTCTAGTTGGTTATTCTCTTTTTTCTCTGTATTTCATACACTACCTACTAGTAAAAAAACTTATTCCCAATCATATTAAACTAAGATCTTTTTTATAATTGATTTTTTTTCACTATTTATCACCTTCGATTTATCCTCATTTATTTCTATCTGTAAATTGAATTTTAAATTCTTTTTTAAAAAATTACCAATAGTAAAAAAATAACTTATATGACAATTTAGTTTGTTTATTATAAATATAAAATATAATTTATATATTTTAAATTTTTATTTATTATAACTTTTGATTATAATATAACTTACTCATAATTATTTATTATAATTTTGAATTATAGAAAATAAGTATTTACCAAATACAATATATAAACTAAAATACAATAGTTATATAAAATTGGGAACATTACGGACTTTGTAGCTTTAGTATCATTCAATAAAAGTATGCAAGCGTTGAAAATTCAGGCAAACATTGATTTGATAAAAATATGCAAGGAAGTTCGCTGACATTTTTTACCGGAAAAGTTTCAAGCAATTGGAGATACTGAGGAAGAACTAATGAAATATGATGAGTCACTCGTCGACTTCACACACAGACATATATACTTTGAGATGTATCACTGTCTCGGATTGTATGTAAACCTGTTTTTCACGTTAAGCAAACCGTCACCAAGTCTTGTTCTTCTATGTACATCAACCTTTTCATTATCTTATGACCTGTAACAACCTCGGTCAAATGGTGACAGTTACATAGAGAAGGAAAATGGACAATAGCAGGTAAAAATATATACATTTCATTAGATAATCTCAGATAACTAACTTGATCGTCGGAGTCTTTTTTGCAAGTACATCTGATATGCTTGGAGAAGGGCGACCAATCTCGAAGACCAACCAATCTCGAAGACCAACCTAGACCAATCTCTCATGATCTCTAAAGAGACCAAGATAGAGAAGATGATAAATCTGACTTGAAGAACCAACCTGATTCTGGTAAGAACATGACCAAATTAAAATATATATTTATTTTCTTCATTTTTATCCATATGTATTTATTTTCTTTATAAGCAAGTGAAGATAATTAAATAGAAATATAAGCCGAGACTCATATTAAAAAATGACCTTTATTCCCAAAAAGTAGATATTGGTAACGTGATCGTCAAATTTGTTAAATAAAGTTTTACTTAACAAATTTTATAATTTGTTGTTATTTACCGATTTCTACTTTATTGAAAAATATATATCACTGTACCAAGGCATACATTTAGTTTTCAGATGACAAATGTAATTTACATATATTATCATTGGTATAAAGATTACGAATTTAATATATATCGATTCATGTAATTCTGATTCATTAATTTAATAATTAACTCACTAATATTCACCTAAAAAAATTCATTAATATAATATTCTAAAAGTCGATGACTAGTTTATGTTTATAAATTAAATGTAGCACTCACCCAATCACTAAATATTTTCATAACTTTGTTAGATGCGAATTCAACTAGAGCTTCACTGCTTTTAACAGGATTATATACTACCTTCAAGAACTTGAAGGTAATTTTGGTTAATCACAACTCCATCTGTTGGATACTTTTGCATCGAATATTATAAACTTCATTTGCGGTTATTAATTGCTTATCCACCCGACATGACTGATAAAAGTAACCTTGTTGTAGTCATTAGTCAATGTTATGCAATGCAGTAGTTAGCTTGTTGACCGACGAAATTAAAAGTGATAATGACAATCTAGCAGGCAAAACAGCCATGCATGATGCATATCTTAATTAAACTCGTTTGTATTACAATGATAAAAGGATTTTGTTATCCTTAAACACACATGATAAGGAATAAAACATGAAATTATTAATAAAATATTTAACATATCTATATTAATATATTATTTTTAAAGAGTATCATTTCCGAATTATCCAGCATACCAAAAATCTTGATATGTGAAAGTAATCATAAAATTCGTTGCAAAAACAATTGAGGCTTTTGATGGTAGACAATATAACTAAATCTATCCACACTAATTAAATTTGTTCTTCGTCGCATTATGTACGTTCATGATACATCAACCTCTAACCACAAAATTACAAATGTTTGCAACTTGGACTTGGACTCATCGAAGATATTTTGCGCATTATATATACTATAAGGGAAATAACCAAAAATATCGGAGAGAACCCCTCCTTCATCAGTTACCATGTGTTGCACCTATAAAATAAAATTATTACAATTTACAAACTTGAACAAGCATTTATCGATCAAGGTCAAATATTAATGGTTGCATCCCACAGCCTTAGAAGCCCATTGCGACCACCGCTGCATATCCTTTTCCTTTCCAAGTCTGAAGCAACACATCTTACCTGGATGTCATAATATGGCCAAAATCAACCCAGGAAAACAAGTTAACAACGAACAACAACAGGAGATATTAATAACGGGCACAGAGTAACATTCTCCGGTCATATATGCACCATTAGCCGGCAAAAAAGTGTTATCAAATAACTAAAGTAAAGAACAATAAATTTTAAATTTAAGCCAAAAGAAATTGAAAGATTTAATTAATTGAATTTCAGTGCTGTAGACTGTAAGTATCTTGGGAGCAAAGAATATCATAACAGAACAATAATTATCTTAAAATTCGCCAGAGAAAACAGAACTTAATCTTGAATATTTTGGTGGCATGAAACAGCAATATCTACATATATATACTTGGAATTATTAACAAAATAGGGAATAAACAACATACCATAGCAACTGTTTTCTGTGGTGTTCTGTAAAGCTGCCAACCAGCCATCTTGGACCCAGGGCCAGAAAAACCACCAAGTCTTTCTTGGGGCCGGTGAAACAGTGACAAAGAATTATCAGCTGCTCCAATGCCTAACCAGTGCTCCCCAGCATTGATAGATAATATGGCGGCATTGTGAATTGTAACATTTTTTGCACATCGTATACCTCCTGCACAGCCAATTAGTATGTTACCAGGTGATCTCAAATGCCTCGACTTTGCAGAGAAGAATTGCACGGGCGTAAACACTAACTCTGGAACATTCTTATA